AGTTAACCCATTCCAATATTCTGTGTAATTCATTACAATCATTTAATCAACTATTGGACAATAAAGTTAATTTGTTTTAGTTAAAGTTATCTAAACGGTGTCATTTAATTCATTTATCACTCATCAAGTAACTTTTTACGTTACAACATCATTTTCTTCATTTCCTTGGTTTCAACGTCCACAGTGTTGTCTACGCTTCGTCGAACTCGAATGGTCAAACTATTGTCCTCATTTTCACTATCAGATGTTCCTGGTGTTTATTTCAAGTTCCAGTAAAGAGTGTTTAGTTGGCCTTTTCTATTTTGACTTCGACTATTGAGCCGGAATCGCTATAATAGCCACTCGTACTTTCACTATTACCTTTGAATCTAAATCGACTTTCAATCTTCAAACCTTCACCAGAGAGCTTAGACTAGGGATGAAAAATGACAAATTCTGGTCTGATCTTACTTGTCCGTTTACCTTTCAGAATAGGGACCAAACCACCGAGATATTCAAGGTATAAAATGTAAGATGATGAACTTCCGATGGAATCATCATCGTGACGGATCAGAGTACAATAGAGACGAGTGTTGTTGACTGGAGAATGCTTCCATTGGAAGTACCGAAGATGACCTGCTGATCATCTGGAGTCCAAATGCCATAAGTAGTTGAACAAAATTCTAAGTTGAGTAATGATGACCAATAACGTTGACCAGCCACCGAGCCAATGAGGACAAAACCATCAATATAACAGACCAAAGCCATTCGACCATCGTGTGACCAAGCGAAGTCAATAACCTGAGTATTACGATCATTGATCAGCTCAACTGACCAACGTCCTTCATATTTGATCCGAACAAAAATAATTCCTGAAGAGTCGCATGAGGCCAACTTTTGATAAGGTTCATTCCATTTTACCAACGTAACCTCCGACCGATGGCCGCGAAGGTTATAATTGGTTCGAAGGGAAAGTTCAAGGGCAGGAAGTTTACTAGTGCGACACGTGGTAAATGTAACACCCACAATACCACGACTTGTGCCCAAGGCAATCCAACCATCTTGGTAGTAATTAGTGCGGTTTAATTTCCAACTGTCTTCATCCTGTGACTGTAACAACCCAGCAGGTACTTTTCCCATCCATGATAAACTCAGTATATTGCAATCGGAATATGAATGCGGTTTCTCAATCCGTTCAAAGTGAAGATGCATCGTGAATAATTTGATCAGTTCAATTATCACTTTTTCAATTTTAATCTTACAATTGATCAAAATTCATTCAAATTCTAAACTTTTGCGAAAAATTAACAATTAAATGAATTCATTTGAAGAAAAAGATTAATCGACCAAATTTGATAGGTAGACAATCAATATAATCAAAGAAATAGTTAATGAATGTAATCACAAAATCCTTAATTGTTGTTTGTGAATCAATTAGGTAAGATGAAAGAATCAAGATAAAGGTGATAACAAAAAACTGTAATCTTTTGATTAAACATCAATTAAAACACAATCAAAACAGAGAGACAATTGACATTAAACGGAAAACAACAATATTCAATTAAAAACACGTACAATTAAACGATAACATGAGCTGAATCATCTTAACGGAGCCAAGTAAATTATTGAATTTCTGTGGGCTGAATAACAACAGAACAATTAACTTCTAATAAAATATCACCAGAATCAAGAGTAGCTTTCTCATAAATATCCTGTTCTTCAATCAAACTTTTATCCAAATATTCTTGATTTATTGATTGAAGATCTTGTTGTTGAAAATGTTGTTGTTGTTGCTGTTCATGATATTGATTACTAGAATCATGTTCCATGTTGATTCACAATAATAAATTAGTTAATAAAACAGTAATCAAATTATAAACAAGCTAATTACTGTCACTATTATTATATCTGAAAGACGAGAACAATTAATTTCACTGTCACAAGTTTGAGGTAAATAAATTGTTGACACAGGATCAGATGATGATGAATGATGATAACTCATTGAATCAGAACAATTTCCTCGTCTACCTGAACGATATAAATTATCATAATCATCGTCCAGTGGGAAACTTAAATCTCTGTAACTTCCTTCACTTAGATAATCATTTGAACTATTGTTTCCACCGGTTGAACCTCCGTGACCATTTTTACGAAACAATAAGGTCACAACGCGTTTCATTGTCAATATAATTCAATGACCGATTCCAATGACAATGGTAAATACAGTAATTAGCAACAGGAAGAGATTTGACAATAACACAGATTAGATTAACAATCATATTGTCAAGAAGGGAAGGGAAGATGCAATTTACTGGGAGGGAAATTTTCTTGTGATTCTCTTCTCGATTCGATAAGTGAAACCAGGGAACAATGGTGATGAGAAGATGATCAACAGCGCATATGAAGAAGAAAATATCTTCTTCTTTCTTTTCTCTTTCTGTCCCATTCATAAACTCACACTTAACATGTCGAAATGATTTCATTTATTGATGTTGTAAATTTTGTCTCTTGATTGTTACAATTAGATTAGTAAATTGTGATCTTTTTGCTGCGTAGGTTTCTCAGTCTATTGTATTTTCATATTTGCCTCTAATTTTAAGTTACACTTTCAATTGTTTTTCCTTAATTGTTATTAATTAACTTTTCATTTTGACTTTTTTTCCAATTAATCTTGATTCTCTCACAATTATATTTCAACTGTAACTCGATTCTCATGCTAATAATAATTGATCTTTAATTCTTTCTTAATTCATTTCTTTATGAACATATCACGATAACAATTGAGTTAATTGTCAATTACAATCTAAAGGGCTTTTCCATTAACTAATTTTTTAAACCAATTTGATTAATCTGAATTATGGTGAGTTTTTTAGATTAGATTATCTAATCATCACTACGATTAGATTACTTGTTGGTTATTTGAAAAGCACAGTGAAAGCTACGGCAAAAGTTAATGGAAAAGGTAAAGCTCGGCTATTTTTCGCAATCAGCTGACAATTAACCAACCAGCTGATATGTTAACCAACATTCACCGAGTTTAATTCGGTTTTTCAGTTAATGGAAAAGCCCTTAAATTGATGAAATCAGTCAACTTGTGTAATCAACAATTCATTTAAATGAATCAGACTTAATTTAGTCAATCCAATTAATCCTCCAAGAAACTGGTTTCTTTTTCTCTTTCTTTATCATCTTATTTATCATCTTAATCTTCAAATATCTTAAAGCATTCGGTCACCAGGGTTCGCATGTAAACTTTTGGCTCTTTTTTTATTTGAAAAAAAAAGTTTTTCTCAAGAATCAATTGGGTGTTTTTATCTTTGTCTTACTGAGATTTTACCTTTTGATTATGTTTTAATCACTTTTATGATTTAATAACAACAATGTGCTAATCAATCAAGTTTACAGGTGGATTAGTGTTTAATTAACAGTACAGATAAAGTAACACAATCGTCAAAACAAATCACAGAGAGAAAGTGAGAGAGAGAGAGATAAACATTTTCTTTTTTTTTCATTTTTCTCCTTTTGCTAAAATATCATTGTTAATCTAACCTGTTGTTATTGTCATTCTTTATCATTGTCATCTTTATCTTCATCATCATCACCATCATCATCATCTCTCTCTGTTGTTTCTTGCCAGTTTTGCCTCTTACACCAACAATCAACAAACTGCTTGTGATTATCCTGCAAATAAAATGGATTGTGATTATTTAAGTAAAACTAATCAACGTTACTCTAAATCATCTCGCCTAAATCATGTTATCAATGATTCATTGACTGTAAATGATGGTGACCTTGTCTACGCCATGTTTGGTGACAATGGACAAGGTGAAGGTTTAATTAATACAATTAACGGTGATGTTAAACGTAACATTGAATCAAGTCTTTCTGATGGCGGATTAACTTTGGGTGGAGTAAAAGTTTCAGGCAGAGGAGGTAAAAGCAAGAGGTCAAGCTGAAGGTGTCAACACCACCACCACCACCACCACCAACAACAACAATAATTATCCAACCAATATGATTGGTGATGTTGATAATTATTCAAACATAAAAGGTTTACGTGGTTGTGGTTCTGATAATAGTAGGATTGATGTTAATAATATCACTTCAACCATTGACGATTCTTGTAAACAATTGCCGATAGTAACAATTAATCAACACCAACCTAAACCATCATCATCATCATCATCATCATCATCACCATTGACTGGGACCGTTAATTGTTTTGGTGAATTAACTTGTAATCAAAGTGAACTTGTTCAAAGTAAAAAGACCAATTTATGTGCCAAGAAAAAAGCGAATATATTGAAATGTTCAGCTTTGAATAGTTTCGGTAAATTGTTGTACGAAGATTGTGATCGTGAAGGTATTTGGAATTCATTGGAATCAACAACAGAATCATCATCATCATCATCATCATCTCCACCTGATAACATCTTCATGGAAAGAGAAACAATTAATTACAATGAGTCATCTTATTCCAATGATACTAATGATATTTATCTGACCAATGATGAGGTTACATGGGATCGTGAGAGTAATCATTTTATTGGTAATGATGAAAGTAAAATAATTACATCAACAAGTAATCATAATCATCATGTAAATGATGATGACCATCATTCTGATGATGGTAAATGTAATGATGATCAACATGAGGCTGGTAATCAAGAGGAATACAATTTATGGAAACGCTCGTATATATTATGTTCATACGCTTTGTTTTTGCTAATTGATTGGACTAAACTTGTTACTCCCACTAATCTCTTATGGTATTAATCGGTATCACTCCTGACCAAAGGCTGATTAACAGTTAATTGACAGCTAATTGTAAACAATCAGTTTTAAATGATCAATTACAAGTTCTACTTATGGTTTGTAACAATTAAAACGCCCAATTGGTGACATTAATTTAAATTAGTTCTCTGGCGCAATCAACATTTCTAATAGTCCAGTAACTTCACTTTAGTTTATCATCTAGTACAAGATGCTAAATTCAATGGCAATTAAGTTAAATTTCATCATTTAATTGCATCGATATTGTTGCTCACAACTAAATTAAGTTGATCATCATGAAGTTTTCATCTAATTTCATCAAACTTTTATTGCTCATTAGATTTTTTCATATTCAACTAGTTGGTTCATTTGATCCTTACAGTAGTCAGTAAGTTTGACCAATTCCTTGATTCAACAATTAACTTAAATTGTTTTCTTCTCGTTCTTTTCTTGACCTTTCTAGTGCTCGAATTCGTGTTGAAGATGGTAACATTGTGTTCGAAGCTCCACCGCGAAAAAGCATCTCATTTAAATCCAATTTAGGTTCGATTCTAATCAATGGTGATAATCTATCAAATGTGCTGATTAGATCGTCCTCATCGAATGTTGGACAAAGTGCCATTGATGGATCATCGGCTATCGATCAGCGAATCAATTCATTGAAAGATTCTGTTGATAAGCTAAATGAATATTCCGATGCTCTGAGTAAAACTCGAGAATTTTTCAATCCTGGTCGTCGACAATATGAACCAAGAGATTTTCACAGAGCATTATCCAATTTAACCCGATTAACAGATGAATTCAATCGACTGAAACAAGTTAGTTGAAGGTAGTTAAAAGTATCGATAATAATTATCTAATCTTTTTCATTTGTTAATCTTGTTAATCCAAAGAGATTAGAGGAAAATCTTTGCTCAACTAATCCATGTAGAAATGGAGGAACGTGTTTACCTGCATTTCAATCTTACATATGTGAATGTCGTGAAGGTTGGGATGGTGCTAATTGTGATTCGGATGTTGATGAGTGTTTAAAATTTTCATTTACTGACCTTGGCTGTCAAAATGGTGCCACTTGTATTAATCTTCCAGGTACATATCAATGTAATTGTATCAACGGCTTTTACGGCGTCCATTGTACCCAAAGGTCAGATGATTGTTCGTCAAGTTCAAACGAGGCTCTTTGTGGTCATGGTATTTGTCTATCAGTTGGTAAGCCGGTCGCCGGTAAACCACATTACACTTGTCTCTGTGATCAAGGTGAGTAATTAATGGATAATTAACGAGAGCAATTGATTATGCTGGAGATTAAGAGTTGATTTAATAATATTATTTTTTGTCCATCTTCGAAAAGGTTGGACAACTGATGGTGTGTCACCCGCTTGTCGAGTTGATGTCGATGAATGTTCAAGCTCAATGCCTCATTGTTCAATTAATCCACCAGTTGAATGTATCAATTTTCCTGGTGGATTTACCTGTGGACCTTGTCCAGTTGGTTATAAGAAGCAAGGATTTTATTGTTTAGATGTTGATGAGTGTCAATTGAATAATGGTGGTTGTTCAATATCCCCTCGAGTTGAATGTCGTAATGTCCCAGGGTCAAGGGAATGTGGACCTTGTCCACTAGGATTCTCAGGTGATGGTGTTACCTGTACATTTGCTGGTATTTGTTCAATGAGAAATGGTGACTGTTCACCAATAGCTCAGTGCGTTGAGATTACAGCCTCAGCTGGACCAGGGCGATCATGTCAATGTCCACCAGGTTACATGGGTAATGGTGAAGGTCCAAACGGTTGTCTAGCAAGTACAAGTATTACCTGTGACCAGCGTCCATGTGTATCTGGTATTTGTATTACCGTCAATTCAAATCCACCAAGTTTCAGGTGTCAATGTCAACCTGGTTTCTCAGGTTCAAGATGTGAAATCTCAACATTAAACCCTTGTAATCCTAATCCATGTTTAAATGGTGGATTCTGTCTCAATAATCCTATTTTAGGAGGCAGATGTCGGTGTTTACCTGCATATACAGGTGATCGGTGTCAAGATCAACGATTAGCCTGCACCGGTGACTTTGATTCTGAAACGGGAATTCTAAGTTATCCCTCTAATGGTGGTAAATATCTTCCTGATACAACTTGTAATTGGAAAATACGTTCACCCATTGGAAAAGTTATTCGTTTAACCTTCACTGAGCTTGATCTTGAAAATTCATTTGATTGCCATGCAGATTCAATTCTAATCTATGATGGTCTCACCAATTCAGCTCCACTTATCGGTAAATACTGTGGTGATATATCCAAAATTCTGGAAAACCATACAATCACAATTTGGAATTCATTGGAATCATCATCATCATCATCATCATCTCCACCTGATAACATCATCATGGAAAGAGAAACAATTAATTATAATGAGTCATCTTATTCCAATGAGACTAATGATATTTATCTGACCAATGAGGTCACATGGGATCATGCAAGTAATTATAATCATCATGTAAATGATGATGATCATTCTGATGATTAATTGCTGTGATTAATTGAATAAACAAATTTCAATCAAAATTAACCTCCATGGCCACTATACGTCCCATACCATCAACTCCTTCATGTTCATCACAATCCTCACTCCCACCATCTTATGCGATCTCAGTTCATGATCATGTTTTACCAATTGGATGGCAATGTAAACATGATCCAAAGACCAATAAATAGTGAGTCTAATTGTTGACAATTAATTGTGGATAAATTTTCTAAAATTGATTTGGTTTTTGTTTCTTTCCATCAACTATCAGTTATTTTTTCAATGATTATGGTTCTGCTACTTGGGACTCTTGGAGAGGGGTAAGTGATTTACTAATTGTTAATGATAATAACTGTTAATCTAACTGATTACATTTCAATCAAAGGGACAACAAGGATCATGTCAATCATCAAGATCATCATCACCATCACATACTTACACCATTAGGAGTTACTATCAGGTAATTGGTACTTTTGCGATTTGATTGATTAATTGATCATTGATTTAATTAATAATTACTGAAACTTCTTATTCAACAATCAGCCTTTCTCAGCTCGTTATAAAGCAAATGATGCAACTGTCCAAAGAATTGCTAAATTGTTTCCTGATGTTGATGAAAATTACATCGCCCAATTGTTAAGAAAGTGAGTTGAAAAATCATTATGATGAACAATTAATTAATGTGCTAATTACTATCAATTTAGGAATGCTAATCGTGAATATGTGGTCAGTAATATTCTAAGAACTGAAAATTATGCGAAAACATATCAAGCTCAACCTGATGAAGCTCTTTACTATAAATTGAAAGGCAAATTTCCAGCAGTTGATCAGAATGTAATTAAGCAATTACTTTGCAAGTAAGTAAATTAATATTGCTATTAATTGGTTTTCAAGGTCAACTAATTGTTTTAGTCTTTCAGGTACAATAATAGTGAACATGATGTTATCTCTGGAATAATCTCATACTTAGCTCCACATATTGGTCGATATCAATCATCGGGTTCGCCTAAGATGAAATTGCGCTATATTAAGATTCTTTATCCAGAAGTTGACGAGATCGTTTTGTTTGATCTTCTTTACAATTGTGATCATAATGTGACAGATGTAATGGAAAAAATTGAGAAAATGGGCTATAAGAAAAACCCACTTCCCCAAAGGCCAAAAAATATAAACGCTGATCGATTTCGTCCGAAGACACTGACCACTCGCGAACCTAAACAATCCGCTTTCCCACCAAATATATTCAAGAAACAGCAAAGTAAATTGATAAATTTCTTTAATTTTTTTCAGAATTTTAATTGATTTCTTTTTCTTTTTCAAGTCTTTGAACAGCTCCAAACAGATTTTCCAAACGTTGACCGATTCCTTATAAACATGGCATTGGAAAGTTCAGCTTTCAATGAGAAGCGATCTCGTCTATTCCTAAGCTCGATGACACCACAAGATTCCGATGAATATTTTCCAAAAGATTGGTCAACTGGTCAATCTGATGAAATAACCCTTCAAACTAAATCGACCCAAACTGGTGGTCTAATTGAATCGACATTTGGAACACCAATAACCAAAAGGAAAACTGATCCAATCAAAACGTAACAATAATCATCAAAATTTTGTCGTAACTTTTGTGATTATCATTATTTAGATTTTTCCATTTATTTTTACATTTTGATCTTAACAGTACTAGCCATTTGAGTGTTTAAACTGATTAATTTTGACTACTAAGATGATCTTTTCTCTTTCATACCCAAAATTAGACTTAATGTGATGACTTGTACAGCTGAAGATGGAATAATTATCGATAAGAAGAAGGTACCGTTAGCCAAAGGAGTTGATGCATCGAATCATAAAGGCACGAAAATTTACAACTTGATGTGAGTATTTCGCCAAATCTTTCAATCTGATAAAATGAATAATGTCAAAATTCAATATTTTATTTATAGTAAATCATATATCCCTTGGCATGGAGCAGATTCCAGGAATAAATTAGTTCAAGATCCATCTAATCGAAAAGGTTCTTCGATATCAAACAAAAGTAATTCCAGTCATAAGGCAAAAGGTCCAGATTCGAGTAACCAAAAAGGTCCATCACCATCTCTCCGTCTCAAGAAACCAGTAGTAGATGACAAGTGATGCTTTTTTACCAATGTCAATGAGATATCTTTTAACTTATTGACTTTTAATATCCATGAAGATAAATGTAATGTATAAGCTTGAATCAAATTTGATGATGGATAAATAAAGGAAACTTCTTAAATCTCTATCTCATCGATATGGTTGAAAATTTATTAGTTTTAGCCTCCAATTTGGCATTGGGAATAATTTGAATCTCCGAGCTAAACTATTTCCAAGAAATGAAACAGCAAATACGAAAAAATACTGAGTAAAATGACTCGAAGTGGCTGGAGATCAAAAATTGCTGAGCGACTTATCCAAGAGCGAAGTGAATTTCTTGGGTTTCAAACTCATCAGGTGCAAGAATATTTTTTCGAAGATTGTGTTGAAATTACTCGATTCAGACCAGTACCAAAAGATCGAAAAAAACGTCACGATGATGATCTTCTTTCCGAAGAACCGGAGGAAAATTTGAATGCTAATGTTTCTACGAACTATTCATCAGAAACCAGATATGTCATGAGTCGATTAAGTGAACGGGAGATACACTTTGAACTAATCGAAGCGTTACTTGGTTATATTAAGAATATGGAACTTGATGGCTCAGTTTTGATCTTCTTGCCTGGTTGGGGTCAAATTTTCTCCCTGGTCAAGCATCTTGAGGCGAATCTTTTTTTCAATTCTCCGCGATTCCAAATTTTACCTCTTCATTCACAAATACCTCGAGATCAACAGAGAAAAGTTTTCGAACCTGTTCCCAACGGAGTGACAAAGGTTATCCTTTCAACCAATATCGCTGAATCAAGTATAACCATTGATGATGTCGTTTTTGTCATCGATACTTGTAGGGTTAAGATTAAACTATTCACCTCACACAACAATATGACCGTTTACAATACCGATTGGGCTTCGAAAACTAATCTTAAACAAAGACGAGGTCGAGCTGGTAGAGTTCGAGCGGGTCATTGTTTCTTTCTCTGTTCACGAGCCCGTTATGAGCAATTGGAAGAGTTTCATTCAGCTGAGATATTCCGTACTCCCCTTCACGAATTGGCACTCATGGTAAAATTACTTCGACTTGGCGCTATTACCACTTTTCTCTCAAAAGCAATTGAACCACCTCCAATTCATTCAATCATCGAATCAGAGGTTTTACTTAGAGATCTGAAAGCTTTGGATGAGAGAAGTGAACTTACATCTCTTGGACGTATTCTCGCCCGATTACCTGTCGAGCCTCGATTGGGTAAAATGTTAATTCTCTCATGTATCTTTCAACTTGGTGGAATGATGTCAATCATAATCGCGAACACTTCTACCTTTCCGGAAGTTTTTGACACTACGTTTCCACGACGATTACCGTACATTCACAACAGGTATCGAAAAGATCGTTGGTCAGATCATATCTCCATCTTAAACGCTTATATTAGCTTGGAAAGAGTAAAGTATGGCTCCGGAGAAATGGCAGCGGTTGATTTCTGTGAGAGAAATGCAATTATGTCGACTATCATGAGAGTGACACATGATACAAAAAATCAATTAATAGATTTGATAAAAAACACTCATTTTCCTGATGCAACTTATTCCAAGTTTGATCTTTACGATTCGGATATTGATTTACTTCAAGGATTACTTACTCTTGGCTATTATCCTAATGTTTGTCTTCATAAGGATAAGAGAAAAGTGTTGACCACTGAGGCCAAGATTGCGCTCACAAAACATCAGTTAATTTTACTAATCTACCACCAGACCAATTTCCTTCACCATTTTTCATTTTTGGTGAAAAAATCCGAACCAAAGTTGTATCTTGTAAACAATTATCCATGGTGACACCAATTCATTTGATGTTATTTGGAAGTAAACGAATTGATGTTCGCTCTGAAAGACTTGTTCAACTGGACCGTTGGATGGATCTCGAAATGAATCCAGAAGTTGCCGCTTCGATTGCCGCTTTTCGACCTGGTATCGAAAATCTTATCCTTAAAGTATCAGAGAATCCGGAAGCTTGTCTAGAATTGAGTAAACCTGAGATAAAACTCATCGAAGTGGTTCGCAAATTGAGTTCTTATAATCTAATAACGCTTCAAAAGAAACCACCTCGTTTTGATCACGTCAAACGAGTGGCAACTATAAAATTACACTCCCAAACCAAATGGAGACAATTTCAAGAATCAATTAAATTGTTGATTATCCTAAGACTCATAATATCATTAATATGAAAATCAAATTTATACACACACATACACACTACCAGATATCATTTTAATCAACCATTCGTACCTTGTCAATTACAATTCACTAAATTGGTTGATATTATAATTTCCCTAAGTTAATTTCAGAGACAAATTGTCAAAATTAATAATCAAAACAACAAAATGATGTAATAATTTTCAATCAAATTGTCCTAATTATAAATATATATTACTCTTGATATAAAAGAAACTTGATATTGTTTCATGAAACATGTTTCTTTTAGATCAACCATCTAATCAAATTCAATTGAACGATAATTAGTCGCTTTGAGCTAATAAGTCAATGATTTATTTTCAATCAGACTGAGAAAGTTCATTAAGATTTTCCTGAGAGGAAACATTAAGGGTTATAACCGAATTAATCTGATAATTAAACTTGATTATCTATGATGTTTGGCTATGTATCACCCATGGTTGATTGTTGATTGACTCATCTAGTTTTCTTTTGTTTTGATTGTTTGATAATCTAAATTGATTGATGATTTTGAAGCTGTTTCATTGATCTTGGCAATGAATTAATTGATTATTGTATCATATGATCACCTTTGTCTCAAAGAAGTGTATTATTAAATTGTTGACTGTTCAAGAAGAGAACTAATTACTTGATTAACTCACTGAAAATTAGAAAAATTAAAGTTATTAGAAAAGAAGAAGAAACAATTTAAAATGAAGGTGAAATAATTTTTTACCATTTGATTTGATTTGAATAATCAACTGATTGGAAACATTCAAATTGTTAACAAGCCAGTTAGTTTATGATAACAATTAACTTGTTGATTATCTCATATGTAAAATTAACAACTTACTATCAAAATTATCCGTGTAGCAATTAGATGAGTAATCAAAGTGATTTATATTGTTGATATTATATGAAAAATAATAGGGGGATTCAAATAATCAGTCAATCAAATAAATCAAATTGAACTTCAAAGGAAATAAATTAGTAACAATTTACAACAATTAGCCAACTCAAAACAAGTAACAATTTAACAGCAATGAAAAAAAAGATTAAAATAAATTAACTAATCATCAAATCGTTGGTCAGTTAACAATAACAACAATTAAACCAAATTAATCAACAATCAACCAGTAATATAAAATTCAAACGAAATGAGTAAATGAAATGTTAACAATATTGTTAAATCCGGTTTAAATTGTTGCCACTGAATTTGAAACAAAACTAATCATAATATTTTTGATTATGATAATCAACTGATCAACAAAAAAGTTAATCATTAGTTTTCAGATATAATAATAGATTCAGTTAATTTAATAGTTACCTTTTTTTTGGTGAAAACAAAAATTTGGTATTTTTTTTAAACTTAAAGGTAACGGGACTCAATCAACAATCAACAATTAACTGATTGCTTGTCTATCCCCAGTGTGTATTCATCATGATGATGATCAGAAATATGATTATTAAAAGTTAATCATCTTCCTAGTTGATCATTAATCTTGATTCCTGTATCATGATAATGTTAAATTGGTAAATGAAATCTTTTGTTAATTGTGATTTAACAAAACCCGATCTAAATCAGAAATCAATTGTTTCCAATTGATTTTCTCAATAAATTGCTTGAAACAAGCTTTCATTTGATTACAATTTTGATTGATTGTGAACCTAATCTTACTCATCTTCCTTATCCTGATCATCATCATTATCATCTTATAATATTGTCTAATCATAACAATTTATCTAATTGTGATCAGTATAACAATATATCCTTTGGAAAATGAATCAATCAGAAAAAAAAACTTTTCTTTCCATGAACTTTATTCATTACTTATTTCAAAATAGAATTGAATCAAAACTCAATCAATGTTAATTGTTATGATAATTATGATTAATATTCCAATTACATTGTACCGAGTTTAAATTGTAATTGTGCTTAATTGCTGCAAAGCTAATATGATTAAGCGCCAACGGGCAATATAATTGTTGAATTTGAGGCGGAAAAAATTGAGAAAAATTGATGAGATTTGCTTTTTTTTCATCTTCTTCCTCATCATCTTAATCATTATCACCACCAATCTAATCAACAGTTAAATTGATCAACAATTTAAATGAGCAATTTACAATTTACCAACAGCAATTTGATAATTTTCATGATAATTGGGTTTAGTTTCATCTCAATGAATCTCAACTTATTTACCGTTAGTTGAAATACAAACTTGTTGATTGTTGGTGATTAATATTATACAAATTGTATCATTTTAATCATCTAAATTTAACTAATATCAATATTTATTGATAATCATTACTATCAAAATTTAAATATTAATATTCATATCTAATTACCGTTACAACAGTTTACTTGATTGTTGAGTTAATTGTTTCAACTATTAACTGTTATCAATTGATCACCTGATAAGTTTACTTGATTGATTGTTTATTAATTTGATTCTAATTTGATTGTTGATTTGATTTGTTTGAAATTATTTTACTTGCAAGAACTAAATTTAACTTTAATTGTTTGGAATCAATTTTGATTGTTACACAAGGGTTATGATTAATTGCTAGCATTGATTATTGTATAACAATTGAATTATATTACAACGTGGGATTAATTTGATTGTGATTAACATTATTAACATGTTGATCATCACAATTAACCGGAAAAATTTGATTCAATAATTGTAAATCTTGATCAATTGTTCAAATGGTTAAGGTTACTTTAAATCATCATCATCTTAATCAAGAATAATTAATTGATTAAATCACAAACAGTATTAGGTCATCAGTAATAAAATCATTGAGTATATATAATTTAATAGTAATTGAATTAAATTTAATTGCACTGGATGTTAATTATTGTGATTATTATGTTTGTTTACCTAAATGATGATTACAACAATTAACTAACCCAGAAAACTTTTTCGTTAATTGCTAAACTTTTCTGTCTTTGATTAGCAATTTAATCATCATTTTCTTGTTCACAATTAAACTCATCAACCCAACAACAACAATTTAAGTCAAGGTTGATTGTTTCCCATTTGATTGTTTACCTTTTTTTTTAATCAAATCTAATAACAATTAGATTTGATTAACATCATCATTATGATTTAATATAAACATGAGATTTAAATTTTCATACCTTAATTGTCCTTGATTAATCAACCAAAAAGATGATGTGTTTATAAATCATAATTATAATTGTAAATCATATATACACTTTGATTATTTGAATAATCAATTGAACAATTAATAATAGTCACAATTAAAAAGTAATGAGACAACAACAATTAAAAGTTTTCAATATGAGAAGCAAAAATAATTGTCCAAAGCTTAATTGTGATCAAATTAATCTCAAAGTGATTAACTATTTTTACAATTATCCTTCACAATCAGGTTACAGTGATTAAAATACCATAGTTATCATCATTTAATCATCTTGATTAATTAACTTAATCCAGTTGTGTTGTTGAAAGTTTTCTGTAAATACTAAATAGTTACGAATCTTAATTAATTTAATATAATCAGAGACTTAAATTGTTCTGATTGTCATCGCAAGGACATTTAATCAGCACAATCAATACCTCAGTGTCTCAATCAGTTAATTATCAACAATTTAATCAGAAAGTCTAGTTAATAACTTGATCTTAATTGCTGCAGGGTAAACTAAATATAATTCAATCAATAATCCTGAAAATATTTGATTCAATTAATATAAAGTTAATCTAGATAATCAAATAAATTGTTACAAGTGATTCTCTTAGTTTTTCAATCACAATTAACTTGTTAGTTATCTTGATTTGTTCATCAAACTAATATAATGATATTAATTAATCAGCAATAATTAACTTTTTTTTTGTTGTTTTCTATTAATTGTAACTCGTTTGTCTATATAATTGTAATAATCAAATTAATATTCATTTCTAATTATGATTTAATTGCTCAAGGCAACTGAGGTGTGTATTTAATTTGATTAAATCACTTAATTTTTTTTAACCCTTTCAATCAACAATTAATGATAATTAACATTCTGTCATCATTGTAAACATCATAAACTGACCATCTAAATCATAATTAACAATTTAAATCATCATAACCTAGGTAACTTTCACTTAACCTGGATAATTAAATTTAATTACACAATCAAAAATTAAATTGCTCTTGGGTTCATTGGATATCTACATAATAATAATTAACGATATTAAATTGTTAATATCATGAACAGTGAGACAATTAATTGTTAACTTGGAATAATTAATTTCTGTCAGAGTACAAGTTTCTATCAACTAATTGTTTGCTTGATTGTCAACAATCAGTTGATTGTTGAAAGATATTATCAATTGAATCGTTGGTCAGTTTAGATGAGAATAAGAAAGAGGATTTTATTTTCTCTTTCTTTTGTTAATTGTCCAGTTTCTCGACCTCAAAGATAACTTATCATTTGGCTTAATTGTTAATCTTTAATCATGATAATTAAATTAAATTGTTATCTGCCAATCAACAGAAACGAGATTAACATGGGATCATCTTGAAGATAATTGTAATAATAATAACTTATTTTTTTCCAACCAACAATCAATTTTAATTCACTATCGTTAATTATTATTTGATACATTTGATTAGTTTGATCATAATCAATGGTTTAAATTGTTACAAGCTACTTACAGGTAATTAATTAATAATCGGGTTTCAATTACACCCAAAGGCTATTATAACAATTAACATTAAATACTGTTCCATGTTTCTTAATTGTTGGATGATCAGTATTACCAATTTAACACCAAACGATTTGTTGATTGTAACACTATCAAGTGAAATTGGTCAACAATTAAGTAACAACAACAACGAAATTTACAAAAAAAAATCAAATTACATTGAAATTATTGTTTAAAGGAAATCGGATGTTATTAAATTATGATTATCGTTAATTTTTTTATAACTTTTCTCAAGGAACAATTAAAATGAATCATAAGCAGTAACATAATTTAGACAAATCATAATTAGTTAATCGTCACAAAAGTCCAGGTTATTAAAGGTAAACCGGATTAACGTTTAAACGATTTGATTAACAATCAAAATAAATTACGAAACAAAAAGTGAAAATAAATTGTCAACCTTAATTACAATAATCGCGACAATCAAATCTAATTTTACTTAAATTGTTGCAATCTATTTAATCATCACAATCAATGGATAATCATACCAATGAAAATGAAGGATTAACCTGATAAAGAAACTTTTTAATCTTTAATCAAAAAGATTAAGATTTAAAAGTTAATTGTTTCAACTTTAAATTGTTGGAAAACAAAAATGATGATTATGATTATGATAAAGTAATAAAATTAAATCATAAATATTATGTTAATTGTAAAGTTAGTGAGTTGATTGTAGTGAGAGTTGATTGTCAAGTAAATTAAAATGGTTACTACAAAAAAGTAAAAGTTTCTATTCGGTTGCAAGTTGTAAGTTGATTCAGTTTACTGATTACTCAAAGTAATTCATACAATTTTTAATCACAATCTATAAGGATTATAAATCAGTTAATTGTTAAAATTCATTGGTCAGTTGATTGTTTCGTTAATTTGATTTAGTTTTTTTTCCATTCGCCATCAACCTAACAATTTAATTCCTTTTTTTGAACGAATCACCACCAGGTATCATTTTCCCTCCTTTCATTTGGTGTTTACTGTTGAAATTAAACGGAAATTAAAAATTTTGATCCAGTCTAATTAAGATTATTTTAATTGTCCTTCTACCTGTCCAACAGTAATTAACTTTTCTACAATTAAGAGCAATTTACTTTGTTTGTTTGTGATTAATGTTTCCAAAAGCAACTCTACACATTCATTCAGAAGATACAAATGTTTGGGTTAACATTTCAATGTGCCCATTGAAGGCAACGTGTTTTTTTGGCTCTCACTTTGTTTTTCTCTCTCTTTACTAATTAACTTTCTGTGAGTTAATTAATTGTGATCAATGGATTAAATGGATAAATGTTATACTCTATCAATCTCAACTTATTGGATTAAATCAGTAAATCATCAAATATCTAAATCAATTGGGGAAAGCAAAGGTTGATCATCTGGTAAGTGTTTCTATTTGTTAATCCATTTGCTTTTGCTTTTCTCATTTTCATATTTTCCTTTGATTGTTTTGATTAATTGTGTTGCTTTTTCCAATCATCTTGTCCATTTTGTTAGATTGTGATTAAATTGTTATCAACAATTAAGTGTCACACAGTGTCGAGTACAATTGAATACATTGAGGGACTTTGATTAGTGATTAACATCTTCTTGTCTTTCATGTTGATATTTTCTGGTCTCCTTATAAACCTCATGGATTATTTTGATTGTTGTGATTAACTGATTGCGATTAAATTGTTAGATTTATTGATTGGCTATTTCTAAGTAGTTGATGTTGTAAATTTTGTCTCTTGATTATTACAATTAGATTAGTAAATTGTGATCATTTTGCTGCGTAGGTTTCTCAGTCTATTGTATTTTCATATTTGCCTCCTAATTTTAAGTTACACTTTCAATTGTTTTTCCTTAATTGTTATTAATTAACTTTTCATTTTGACTTTTTTTCCAGTTAATCACAATTAATCTTGATTCTCTCACAATTATATTTCAACTGTAACTCGATTCTCATGCTAATAATAATTGTTGATGAGAAGAAAATGAAAGTTAATTGTAATAATTGATCTTTAATTGTTCAACAAGGGCATTTCTTTATGAACATATCACGATAACAATTAAGTTAATTGTCAATTACAATCTAAATTGATAAAATCAGTCAACTTGTGTAATCAACAATTCATTTAAATGAGTCAGACTTAATTTAGTTAATCCAATTAATCCTCCAAGAAGAAGGTGAAAAGATTAATTGAAAATGATTAACGTTAATTGTTGGGTGACAATTATTGATTATCAAGGAATCGCAATTGAAAATGATCACTCATTTTGATCACAATTAATTTGATTGCCTTAAAAATTAAAGGTAAATCCAATTGCTAAACTTTAATCTGTCATTTTATTGATTTTCAATTAGCTAGATGATTAATAAATTGTTAATTTTGCTTATTAACTGACGTTTTTATTTAATCAAATTTGATTAATTTCTTAATTCTTCCTGGTTAATCGTTAATCACAATCAAATTTAAATAATCGCCATTAGCTCAATCACTTGATTCAATTAATATTTCCAATTCAACAATTTAGCTATCGATATAATAATTTACTGATCATCGGAATCAATTGCTGTTGAATATTTTGCAATACAAAAAGTCAACAATTAAATTGAGATCAATTTTTTTTTCTTGATTGATTTGATTAACAAATCTAACAATTAGAATTGCTAAAATTAGATTGTGATAAATGTTTTTAGTTAATTCAAATCAACAATCAGTCACAAAATTAACCAATAAAACATTAAATTGTCGATTAGAGATCAACAAACTTTTCAATTGTAACACCAATCAGATCACAATTAAATGTATAATAGAATCAAATTTAATCATTTGATTATAATAATAAAATTATCGTTAATCAATTACAGTTAAACTATTTTCCGTCAATCCAACACTTCAATATTTAATTAGGCAAACTGTTGATTGTAATAATAAGTTTAATTTTTAATAAACTAAATCAAATTAGGGCAAATTTCCCAATCAAAATATCAAAATTAAATTAAAACTTTCACAGTTAATTAAATTTACAGACAATCAAATCTAATGATTATCATTGAATCAATTTTACGTTTCAACAATTGGACAGAAAAAAAAACTTAATCAAATCCACTATTGGCAACACAATGACAATTGTGATGAAATGAAATTAATTTCATCATGTCAAGGAGACTAATCAACAATCAATTAAAATGAAAAGCAATTAACTAACAATTGACCAGTTAATTGATTATCAATAAGTAATAATGATTGAGAAAAAACATTTGACCATAGACACAAAAACATCAATATAAAAGTAAACATTTGGATGCCATAAACTGACCAAAGGTCTAATTGAACTTTGAATTGAGACCTACCAGAGATGTCGGACAAAAGGTCAAATCAACGACAAACTGACCTTTCCAGTCTCTCGCTTCTCAATTTTGTGACCGAAAAAAAATGAGATCGTTAAAAGATGAAAGTCCATAACGAAACATAAACGCCACGATCCGAGATGATGATTGTAAGATATAATGTATGTGTCTCCCTTTTGTACAGTATAACCGTTGATTGTTGGAGGTTAAGACGATGTCAAAGGTCACACATTCTGTTTTCTTGACCTATGAAACCTAAAAATAACCTCAAAGTACCAGGGAACCAAAACTAATAACAGAAAACATGTTCATATGGTCAGAATGCAGCAAAATGTTATTGAAAAAAAGTTTCTAAGCAACTTTAACCTATGGAACCAAAATTATACATTGAAAGGAACCATTTTGTTGACCATTTTTGGTCAATATAATTACACTGACCCAACGATGATTAGTTAATTTTGTTTCCAATTTCAAATTACTACTCTGATTGTTACAATTACTATTATTTAATCACAAGTCATTGTGTATGTTTGTTTGTTTGTAGGTTGAAGGTTGTTGATTGTTGTTGACTGGGTTTATTTATTATTAAGGTTACCATTGACTCTGATTGTTAATTGTTATCGTTTATTGATTAATTATTAATTGCTCTGATTATTTAATATGAGTTAATTTAGGTGATTCTGTTTGTTTACTTGATTGTTTACTTGATAACAATTAGTTTAAATTGTCTTCATCTTCTTGAAAAGTTATCACCAAGATTGAAACAGTTAATAAATTTTGTTTGTGCTACGATTTTAATTGTAAATTTTTAATTTCTACGCTTAATTGTGATTAACTTTTTTTTTAAATTTTCTCTATTACCCCTTTAGCTTTCATATCCATCTCTGTTAATCTTGATTAACCAACCATTAATTACGATTTAATTGTTGTTAACTATTACAATCTAATTACATCCTACACTTTTAAACAATTTAGATTCCTTATTAACTAATCCATTACCTTAATTTAATTGTTATAATATTTTTTGATTGTAACTTGAAAACCTACTCACAATTTGATGTTTTAATTGTAATCAAATTGATCACCATTTATGATTAACTGTAAAAAAACAAACTTATTGATGATAATTATAATTACTTATTATTGATTACCTTGTTGTGATCAATTAATTTTATTGAAATTGATTGTTACATATTTTTCATGATCAAAATTGATTGCAATTAATTTCCAGGTAAAAACAATCAATCCAAAAGCAAGACTAAATCATTTAACTGTAAAAATACAATTTAACCTTGATTGTTACACTGATTTGGTTCATTGAGTTCAACTTTCATTAGTTAATTGTTACAATTAACTTTGATTTGAAATAGTAACCATTTGGCTAACAATGGTCAAGGGCTTTAACAATTAACTTTCAAAAGAAAAAAAAATGAGATAAAATTAGTTAATCAACTATAATTATATAAACTTTTCTTGCCAATCACAATTAACTGATTAAAATTGATTAGTTTGCAAAAGTTTCAATGAATATATGAATTAGTATGAAAAGTTTCACAGTCCAAATGATTTATAAATTGTCTGTTTTCAACAATCAATTGATAATCATGATTAAAATGGGAAAATCTCAGACTAATCTAATTGTTCACTAATGAAACTTAATCAATTTCTTGTTGATCATGATTTTCACAATGAATAATCAACTTAACCATCAATGTTGATTAACAGTAATTAATGTTTACTATTTGAAAGTAATCAAACTAACAATTAACTCGTTAATTGATTGCTATCAATTTCTCATACAAAGGAACTAATAATTAGTAACAACAATCAACAAATTTATATTCAGACAATTGCTAATTTAGTTTTCTCACTAATATTCACAATCCTAAATGAACAATTAAATTTAATTGTTACGTTCATCGGTCTAAATGTTGATCAGAATTAAAAAAAATTCCTTCATTTATTCATAAGAATCTGAAATGTTGAATAAACTTTTCAATGAATTTCCTTGGTGTCATCATGATGACAAGTAATCTTTTCATCTTTGGCACAATTAAACTCCCTCCCATCATCATCACCATATGATCCTCATCCTCATCCTCATCCTCATCTTGATCATCATCTTCAGGTCATTTCTTCCGGAACGATGAGCATGATAAATGTGAAAAAAGTCTCTATGTTAACCTTAGCATCCTCATCTTAATTGTTTGTCTACAAATAAAGATGAGGATGCTAAATGTAATTCTAAGTCTTTTTCATCATCTTTTCTCATCCTTATCATCAACCTCTCCCTTAAATTAGTATCTATGTATTGGATCAACATCGATTACCATTAATCATTTGAATTAAATTTTTTCTCTATTTTTTGACTTGAAAAAAAAGGTCACAATTTATACCAAATTGTTGCTCTACTATTCAAATGTAACTAAATCAACATGATAATCAACAAATTGCTTCTGTTACGGGGATAAATAGATGAGGATGAAAATAACAGACTATTGACCCACCCCAACAGGATCTGCTATCTAAATTAACGGTAATAATATTATAACGATTATAATATCGTTACATAAATAGATACACTTTCGTAATCATTTAAATTGTTAATTTGATTGCTGCTAATTGTTGTTGTTTGATTTTTTGGTCTCTCTTTCGACAAATGAACTCAAAAATTGTTTCAAAGTTCAATTTGTGCTCTTCTTTAATACTAATCTTTCCAAGTATTTACCTTAACACTTTTTACCCTCGGGGCTTTTTTTAAGTTCATTTCTCTCTTGGAAAGTGAGAGTTTAAAGGTTGAGATGACATTTTGTTGGAAGATTAAGGATTAAGAAGACTATTTTCAAGAAGAAGATGAAAAATTTCGAAAAGTGTTGACCTCAGGTCAAGGGATTGAATGTTAACCCAAAAAACAAGGTCACCAAATTATCTCAATAATTTTTTACAAAAGTTTCGCCATCTTCATCTCTAAGATGATAATATTTCGTCTTCCTTTTCTTTATTTCTTTCTTTTTCTCTCTCTTTTCATCTTCCTTTTCTCTTTCTCTTCTTCTTTTCATCATCATCTTTGGAAGAAAAAGAGAGAGAGAGAGATGAAGAAAAATCTTTGAAAGAAACTCACTCTACATCCATAGGTTTCTATTGGAAGATGTTAAGTCTCTGTTTTCCCACGATCTTCCTAAATCCCTCTCTCTCTCTTTATCTTCCTCCCCTTATCTTCATATTCTAAAGAAACTGGTTTCTTTTTCTCTTTCTTTATCATCTTATTTATCATCTTAATCTTCAAATATCTTAAAGCATTCGGTCACCAGGGTTCGCATGTAAACTTTTGGCTCTTTTTTTATTTGAAAAAAAAAGTTTTTCTCAAGAATCAATTGGGTGTTTTTATCTTTGTCATACTGAGATTTTACCTTTTGATTATGTTTTAATCACTTTTATGATTTAATAACAACAATGTGCTAATCAATCAAGTTTACAGGTGAATTAGTGTTTAATTAACAGTAAGGATAAAGTAACACAATCGTCAAAACAAATCACAGAGAGAAAGTGAGAGAGAGAGAGAGATAAACATTTTCTTTTTTTTCATTTTTCTCCTTTTGCTACAACATGATTGTTAATCTAACCTGTTGTTATTGTCATTCTTTATCATTGTCATCTTTATCTTCATCATCATCACCATCATCATCATCTCTCTCTGTTGTTTCTTGCCAGTTTTGTCTCTTACACCAACAATCAAACTCGAAACTGTTTAAATCTCTTCCTGTTGCTAATTACTGTATTTACCATTGTCATTGGAATCGGTCATTGAATTATATTGACAATGAAACGCGTTGTGACCTCATTGTTTCGTAAAAATGGTCACGGAGGTTCAACCGGTGGAAACAATAGTTCAAATGATTATCTAAGTGAAGGAAGTTACAGAGATTTAAGTTTCCCATTGGACGATGATTATGATAATTTATATCGTTCAGGTAGACGAGGAAATTGTTCTGATTCAATGAGTTATCATCATTCATCATCATCTGATCCTGTGTCAACAATTTATTTACCTCAAACTTGTGACAGTGAAAACAATCAACACGTTATTTTATCAAAAACAACAACAACAACATCATCAACACCATCAACGATTGACTTTACACCGGTTTACCAAGGTATCCCACCAATTACATTAACAATTACTAACAATCAACAAACTGCTTGTGATTATCCTGCAAATAATATGGATTGTGATTATTTAAGTAAAACTAATCAACGTTACTCTAAATCATCTCGCCTGAGAAATTGTTTATCTCATTCAGCATTAGACGATATTAATCAATCGGAAAGATTATTGATTGATAATAATAATTTAACTTCAATTTCCAATGTTATCAATGATTCATTGACTGTAAATGATGGTGACCTTGTCTACGCCATGTTTGGTGACAATGGACAAGGTGAAGGTTTAATTAATACAATTAACGGTGATGTTAAACGTAACATTGAATCAAGTCTTTCTAATGGCGGATTAACTTTGGGTGGAGTAAAAGTTTCAGGCAGAGGAGGTAAAACTCAAGCTGAAGGTGTCAACACCATCACCAACACCACCGCCACCGCCACCAACAACAACAATTATCCAACCAATATGATTGGTGATGTTGATAATTATTCAAACATAAAAGGTTTACGTGGTTGTGGTTCTGATAATAGTAGGATTGATGTTAATAATATCACTTCAACCATTGACGATTCTTGTAAACAATTGCCGATAGTAACAATTAATCAACACCAACCTAAACCATCATCATCATCACCATTGACTGGGACCGTTAATTGTTTTGGTGAATTAACTTGTAATCAAAGTGAACTTGTTCAAAGTAAAAAGACCAATTTATGTGCCAAGAAAAAAGCGAATATATTGAAATGTTCAGCATTGAATAGTTTCGGTAAATTGTTGTACGAAGATTGTGATCGTGAAGGTATTTGGAATTCATTGGAATCAACAACAGAATCATCATCATCTCCACCTGATAACATCATCATGGAAAGAGAAACAATTAATTACAATGAGTCATCTTATTCCAATGAGACTAATGATATTTATCTGACCAATGATGAGGTTACATGGGATCGTGAGAGTAATCATTTTATTGGTAATGATGAAAGTAAAATAATTACATCAACAAGTAATCATAATCATCATGTAAATGATGATGATGATGATAATGTTGATGATGGTAAATGTAATGATGATCAACATGAGGCTGGTAATGAAGAGGAATACAATTTATGGAAACGGATTGTTGAAAATTCTAATGCAAATGATAATTTACTAATTGACCATGATGTTGATCGGAAAGTTGGTAATACCAACAGTTCATTAATATTAAGTTTACCATCACTTGGAATGATCAACCAACAACAACAACAACAACAACACCAAGGTGATCACAAGGCCAACAACAACACCACCAACAAGAACCTAAATGTTTACAGGAGTATTTCAACTTCAGCCTTAATTTGCAGCGGTAATCGTGGCGGTGGCGATGAGAGTGATAGTTGTAGTGGTAACTTTTTAATTGCTGATGAACCAGAAAAGTTAGTTAAACGTATTGGTAAAGTTTCTGCTGATGTAACCAGATTAATGGAAAGTGAAGGTCTTCACTTTAATCCATCATCACTTTCAGATTTTACAACCAATTATTCAACTGAAAATAATCCTCCACTTAATCATCATCATCATCATCATCATCAACAACAGCAACAACATAGTAATTGTAGTAATCTTGTTAGTCGAAGCTGTGAAAATATTCTGGTCTCTTATGATGATGGTGATGATATTTACACCAAACCAAATCAATATCAACTTACTCACTCAAAGATGAATCAAGATTCATCTCTATTTCCAAAGGATTCAACTGGTCAGTCTCAAAGCCATCAACAGCTTCCATCTTCTTCCTCATCTCAGAATCTTCAGTCTCACCTACAACAACATTTAACATCTCATTCTGATTCATCATCATCATCATCATCTGCTGATGTTGTTTCTTCCTCCTCTGCCACTACCTTATCATCATTAAAAGTTAACTCAAATTGTGATGAAACAATAACAACAACAACAACAACAAATAATAATAATAACAATTCAACCAAAGATTGTGGTCAATTTAAACATCCATCAATAATTGTTAAGCCATGTACCACTCTATCAATTAAACAACATCATCTTCATCAACATCTTCTCTCTGAAAATTATACCTCATCATCATCATCAACTTCCTCTTCCTCTTCATCCTCTGGTTTTAATACAAATAAAAACTTGGAAAACGATAACGATTCAGTTACCAGTTCAGTTCAACATCGTTCAGATGAATCAGGTTACGAATCAGATGGAACTGGTCATAAAACTGATAATATTGAAGTGATTGATGGTCATCGTGTCCATCCTGGTGTTACTGGCCTTTTACCTTCTCCATCATCATCCTCGTCATCATCTTCCTCTTCAACTTCGTCCTCATGTTCATCAACAGCCTCATCTTCATCATCCTCATCAACCATTTCTAATTTGCCACAAGCAGTTATTCAAATGCCATCGGTGATTCCTGCCAATAATATTGATAATCCATCAATCACTGTAATCACATCAACTAACTCTCAACAATTAACCTCCATCACCAATACCACCACCACCACCACCACCACCACCACCACCTCTTCAAACATTTATCCCACCTCCCAATCAACGACAATTACATCAACATCAACAACGACAACTCCTTCAATTGCCATTACTACAAATTCACAATCAACCAAAAATCGTAATTCTCATCATGACAATTTACTCAAATTTACTTCATTCTTACAAAAATTAAAACCAACAAGCGGAAATTATTCATTTCATAATAATAATAAACAAGGTAAGTTATTTAAAAAATTTAATTCTAATTGTAAATCATTAATTACTATTGATTGTGTGTGTGTGTATATATCAATCGGTTGTCAATTTAAATTGTATTGTAGTTTTCATTGCAATTACTGTGGCTAATTGTTAACCATACAATTGATATTAATATCTGTATATGTATTATTATTTATATCAAGTGTATGGGTTGATTGTTGATGCTTGATTATTGTAACTTTTCAATCATCTTAACAATTAATCAATTTTGATTGTGAAGCTTTTATTTTCCTGTTTTAATTGTGGGTCAAAAATTTTCAATAATGTTATTAATTAGTAGGAATTGAAATTTTTTTTTCAATTAATGAAAATTAACTGATTTTTCAATCAATTGATTTAAATTGTAAACGTTAATTGTTGTGTGTGTGTGTGTGTCCAAGTGATTAAAGGAATTGATTGAAATCAGTTCAATGGTCGCAATTATATTAACCATTTAATCACTAATCTTAATCTTAGATTTATTATTTGCAACCAAATCAAATTAACCGACGACAATCAATAACCTTAATTAACCTGGAAAAATATAATATAAAATTCTGGATGATTAGTAAATTAGTTTGATAACTTTTTCTTTTAATTTCCAATTTAAATAATAACCATGAACACACATTGAGTTAATCAATTTAATCGTAATCAAGTTAATCATATACACATCATATTGATCCAGAAATTAAAGTTAATTACTCAATATAAACTCTAACCTTCAGGTCATCAGCAATTAATTGTAAACAATTTCAATTGTAATGATTATCAAATGAAAAAAAAGGAAAAGTGTTAATTAGGATTAACCTTAAATCTAAGAAATTAATTGTTACTCTTTTGATCTGATTAACTTGATTGTAAATATTTTTTTCCTCTCTTTCATACTTGCGTTGATTGAGCTTAATTGCTGGTTAATTGCTGTTTTCATGTTTTCTTAATCAATGTGTTTAGCTTACCATTAACACACTCACCGTAAACAAGTAAAAAAAAAATTAACAGTTATATTGTTACCCAATTGAAACAATTTAAATTAGTTGAACCCGTTTAAATGATTAAGTTGTTGCTGTTGATATGATGTATGACAATTAATACTTGATTATGGTTGTAAGTTAACAATTAAAAGTTGATTTAGTTTATCATGTCAACATCTAGAATATAATTTTCGCCTTGTTTGTGTGGTAAATTTATTTTAGTTGTTAACTGATTGTTAATGATAATTATCAAGGTGAACAGTTTTCTAATTATCTAATTAATTTAACTGGTTAAATTGTTCTCGCAATTGAATTTAATCAACAACAAAAGTTGAACAATTTACTTATGTGTTGTTGATCCTTCTCAAGGCGCAGGAATTTGTAGCACAAAAATGATTAAGTTGTTGCTGTTGATATGATGTATGACAATTAATACTTGATTATGGTTGTAAGTTAACAATTAAAAGTTGATTTAGTTTATCATGTCAACATCTAGAATATAATTTTCGCCTTGTTTGTGTGGTAAATTTATTTTAGTTGTTAACTGATTGTTAATGATAATTATCAAGGTGAACAGTTTTCTAATTATCTAATTAATTTAACTGGTTAAATTGTTCTCGCAATTGAATTTAATCAACAACAAAAGTTGAACAATTTACTTATGTGTTGTTGATCCTTCTCAAGGCGCAGGAATTTGTAGCACAAATTTTTGCAAGAAAAAAAAATTAGGTCTGATGATGATGCTCATGATGATGATAATGATGCTGATGAAGATGAAGATGATGATGAGGGAGAAAGAGAGATGTTAAAATTTGGGTTTGGCTACCAAACGCCTGAGGGTGAAAACAAAATTAAATGAGCTACTAGCTTTTCATTATTAACCCAATGAAAGATTGTTGTTGTTTTTGGTTCCATGTTGATGATTTTTACTTGTTGTTAGTCATCATACTGTAAGCATCTTCATCTTGTCTTCATCATCATCATCATCATCATCATTTTTACTATCAGCATATACACACCCACACTTTGTTGAATTTCTCCCTCTTCTCATCAGATGATTTCTCTCTCTCTCTCTCTCTCTCTCTGTTTCTCCTTCTATGTGAGTTTTAATCATCGTGTTTATTAAATTGTGTGTATACTCATTCCTTTAATAAACTTTCAGCTAATTAATAGTTGATTCTGTTGTTTTGTTTTGCTGTTTATTGTGCTAATTTGTGATTAGTGATTTAATTGTGTCTTTTTTGTTTTCTTTTTCTTTCTTGGTGCTTGACAGAATTCAGAGTTGGACCTTTAAAGGACACGAGTGATAATGTGATTCAATCTGAAGTCTCATCGTTGAATATGAGCAACAAGAGTATCAAAAGTAACAACAGTCTGAATAATAATAAAGCTCCTGGACCAGGTACACCTCCATTGAATAACCTTTGCTCTTCATCTCGACCTCACGTTAAGGATTCAACCGCTAAATTAATGGGTCAATTTAAGGCTTGGACACTTGATAGAAAATTTTTACGTGGTCGTAATAAAAAATCATCAGCTTCTGGAAACGGTGAAGGTGCTAATCGATGTTCAACTGGATCGACCTTAGATTCAACCTTGGATTCACCATCTATCGGAGGTGATACACCAGATTGTTCAATGATGTTACCTTCAACTACCACCACCAATTTATTATCATCAACATCATCATCATCATCATCCTCTGTTCATCATAAGCTTTCAGCTGGTGGTTCATATTTAAAGCGAGCAAATCTTTTTGGAGCCGTTTTCTCAGCTAATAATGGTTCATCTTCATCTTCATCATCATCTGTTTCCCACCATCGTTTCCCTGGTAATAATCATCATCATGGTGAAGATACTGGCGGTGGTTCTTACGATTATTCAGTTGTCCCCATGGAAGGTGATATAATCCATACACCAACAGATCAACATTTAACCTCTTCAGGTCGACTTTGGACAAAATCACCGACATCTCTTTCATTTCCAACTAATGCTCATGGAATATCATCTTCAATTTCATCTTCATCAATATCTACAATCTCATCATCTGGATTAACCTATTCTCTTGATGAAAGAATGGCTCAACTTGAAGATACTCTGAATAGTATTGATGAAGAGCGATGTCCAGTTAAAATAATGTCGGTCAACCTCGAGAAGGACGATAATGGTGGCCTGGGAATCTATGTAACACCAAAACCCACCGAGGATAATACCGTTGGCTATATTATCGCAGATTTTGAGCCCGATGGTCCAGCGGACAGGTAATTATCATACTGCCCTTAAGCTCAATCAAACAAATATAACAACAATTAGATCAACTGAAACAATTTGGTCTTAAATCAACTTCCTATTTGCAAGAAAAACAAACAATGTAAACAAACAACATCATTAATTATCCGGAAACAGTTTATCATTAATTATATTGAAAAAACTGTTTACTTAATCACATAATCTTACTGTCAAATTAACTGTCAACAATTAGTGTTAATCAAGTTGATTTTGTTAATTTCTTTAACATTTAATCAGAGAAATTGTTAAACAGAAATTGATTGTTAAGTGAGAATAAGTTTTTCCTCTTTGTTGATAAGTGATGAGGATAAATCATCTCAATGGAAACATTTAATTTCATCTTGCATTTTTTTTTATTGGTAAGATGATGATGATGATAAAAGAAACAATAATTTACTCTCACTCATCCAAATCATCATTATCTTCATAGGGTTTTCCATACTCAGGTTATTGTTATCAATTTACAGGGTCATCCATCCGTCAAGTGAGAATGTGACTTTTCATGGTCCAAGCAAATTGAATAGTGTTTAGTATTATCATCGTCCATTCATCAACTTGTTTTCCTACCTGTTGATGTTTTTGTTAACAATTAACACTCACAATAAGATTTAGGTAACAACAATTAAAGGAAAAAACTTTTTTAAAAGGTAAAATGTTTCATTAATATTAACAATCAACGAGAGAAACATGATTGTTGACAATTAATTGATTCACTTTTTGAAGGTTACACATATTATTAGTCATTGACCCTCTTCATTAACTAATCTCATGTTGATATCAATGTCAAAATTGATTATAATTGTTTACAATTAACTTGGGAAAGTTAATTTAACCATTAGATTATAGTAGTTAATTGTTTACAATTTTTGCAAACGTGTGTTGATTTGTTGATTGTTTTATTTTAAGATCAACTTGAAATGTCTTGAGATGTCAATCATTTCCTAATTTGGTCTTAATCATCATATTATTTACCAATTGAGATCTAATCTCAATTAACTGGATAATTATCTAGATTGATTATCACCGTTATTTGTTTAACCTAATTAATTGATTGTGTTGTTTTCTTTTTCTTTCACTCTTTCTTTAGGAGTGGTCAGTTACAGAGACAAGATCAAGTTCTAATGGTCAATGGAGTATCTTTAAGAGGATTAGGTCTTCCGGATGCTTTATCATTACTTAAAGAATCGGAAAGACTTGTACAGTTAATTGTTGCTCGAAAAGTTGATTATTTTGATGCTTTTGATGAAACGGATACCGTTAGCTCAATAATTGACTCAACTACTCTTGAAAATGGTCCACCCTTACCGATAACATCTCAGCCTGTTAATAATAATAATGTTGTCACAACAACAACAAGATCAACATCTAATTTCAATCGTCACCGTAACTCATCATTATCAGGGGCAATTCCTGAGTTGGAAACAGTTGATCAACAATTGCAAGATGATTATCAAGAAAACAAAACAAATTCAATGGTAATTCAATCATTTGAAATGCTCAAAATTTTGGCTCAATTCCAAAAAATATTATCATGTTACCATCATGGGCTCTCTCCCGCCTTGATTGTTAATCTCTCTAGTCTCTTAATCTGTAACTATTTTCACACTTTTCCTCTTAATCTTGATTCCTTAATCTTAATCCGTGACAAGTTACAGTTTATCTTGCATTATATTGGAATCTTAATTTTATTTATCTTTATTTTCTTGCTGAACTTTCACCAACTTAATCATAACAATCAAGACTAATAGTAACATGATATTGAACATGAACTTGAAAAAAATTCTAATATAATCGTTTTATCGTTTCCAGATCTCTTCAGGTCTTTGTACAGTCCCTCGAAAACCCAAATTACCGTTAGGAACCAGTCGACACACAATCGTATTCAAAAAAGGTCCAGGCTGCCGGAAATTGGGCTTCAGCTTAGTCGGTGGTAAGGATTCACCTAAAGGAGCCATGGGAATTTTCGTGAAAACCATAGTGCCCAATGGTCAAGCTGCCGAAGAAAATAAATTAAAAGAAGGTAAAAATTGATTGTTCATCTTTATGATTAACTGATTGACTAAAAAATTTACTTTGCAATTTGATTAATTAGGTGATGAGATTCTGTCAATTAATGGACACACAATGGAGGGATTAACTCATGGTGAAGCCATTGGAATATTTAAATCAATCAAAACTGGTGATCTTGTCTTAACTGTACTCAGAAGGAATCGACAATTAATCAAAAAGTATGTCCATCTAATTGCTATCCTAATTGTTGATTGTAAAAGTTTAATTATCGGCGATTACTAATTGATTCTAATATTATTTTTTGTTCAATTTTTCTAGTCCACTTAATTCAAAGTCTTGCTCAAATTTGGAAATCATTGAAACCAATTGATTATGGGGATTGACCAGTTGATTAGTTAATCATCTTTGGCTTAATTGTCGTTTAACAATTTACATAAACTGCCTCATTAATGTGATTTGTGATTTCCATTCTCATAATTTATTTAATTGTCATCATCAACCATTGTCATCTGAATGAAATCCTAGTCTATTCCAATCACTATTATTATTACTGAGTTTCTCTATCATCATGTTAATTAACAACTCAACAATTAAGATTTTGTATTTGTTTAATTACCTTTCGTATTAATTTTTGTCCTTCTCATTGTAATTAAGATTCCTTAAGTGATCCTTAATTTTTATACTTGATTTAAAACCATTGTAATTAAACTAAATTCAATTTTGAAAATTTAATTTCTATTCATTATTTTTACCTCAACAATTAGAAACAATTAAATCACAATTAACCTTGATCTTTTTTTTTGTTGTTGATCAATTGATGAAACTGATCACGATTCTAATTGTTTTCAATTTACTATGATTTTAGAGTGAAATTAATTAGTTAATCTTATTATGTGATTGTCAATTGTTTCCGTACGATTAACAATTAGTTAATTACTTTTTTTTGTCATAGACAGTGAAAGTGATTAAATTGTTTTCTTCTCGTTGATTTAGTTCAATGTTAATTGTGATGTCAATAAGCTCTTGTTTTCTGTTTAATTGTTCAATGGATCCTTTTGTTTGACAATTAACAAATTGCTACGTAATTAGAATTTTTTTAAGGTGAATTAACATTGATCGTCAACATGATTAACATTTAAATTGTGATTTAACTAGTCAGTTGGTGTAAATCTGTTAACTAATCAACGTTAGAAAATTGTTCTCAGTGTGATTAGTTAATCATGAAATTATTAACAATTAAATTGATCACTTACATCGCGTTGGTTAATTTGATTAATTGTGATCCCATTACACTTAATTCTGTTAACGGTGGAAATAATTTAAATAATCAACAATCAACCGGTGGAACATCAAATGAAAATTCAATACAATCAGTTAATCAACAATCAAGTAACAGTAATTTGAATTCACAATCAACTTCAGTTTCAACTGAATCTTCATCCAGTGTATCAAATGATTTGACTGTTAATAAATTGGATCAATCTAATTTCGTTAATAGTGATAATAATTATAATGATTTAGTTCTGGAAAATGGTATTAATTGTAATTGTTCATTGGGCTCACCAAGTTCAGCTGATTCGATTGCTTCTGATTCAACAAATGGACGATTGATTTTATCTTCGGAATCATCTGGACAATCAACTAATGGTAATTTTGAGAAGCGGCAAATAAATGGTCAATCTAGTGGTAAATTAGTTCAACAATCGAGTGGTGGGTTCTCGGGATATAATGGGTACGAAGGTGGTGGTGGTCAAGGCGGAGGACGATTTAGTAATCAGGATGGGTTTGGGAGTAATGGAGGAAGTTCAGGTGAGGGTGCATTCGGTGGTAGTTTCAGTTCCGATTCCAGAGGTGAAAGTCAATATAGTGGCAATGGTAATGGTCAGTTTGCTGGGAAATCACCGGCGGGGTATGAGAAGCCCGAATATAATTATTATTCGACTGATTTTAAGGACGATCCTAAGCAACGAAAGGAGCGACAAGCATGGCCAATACCTGGAGTCAATGTTCAATTAGGTTTAGGGGGAGAGGGTGATAACAATTTCGAGGGTCATGGGGGTGGGAAAGGACTACTAAATAGAATTATTGGCGCTGGAAACTCTGGTGGTGAGATGGTCAGAAATATTGGAGGGTTAATTGGTAGTGGGCTTGGTGCCATGGGTGGACTTGGGGGGCTTGGTAGAATGCTTCACATTGGAAATAAAGGCGGCGGCGGTGGTGGTGGTCATTTCTCTGAAAGAAATGGTTACAATAGCAACTTTGGTTTAATAGCCAAAATAATGGAGGTTTCGGTGGCTATAATGGCGGAGGATCTGGCGGTCAAATGGGAGGAGGGTTTAATGGTCACCATAGTGGAGGATTTGGTGGTCATCATGGAGGGGGATTCTTTCACCATCATAGTGGAGGAGGAATCTTTGGCAATGGAGGAGGTGGAGGTGACGGCAGTTTTGGAGGAGGTGGTTTTGGAGGTCATGACCCCACTAGTGTTGGCCTTGGTATCGGTGGTAAAATTGGTTTGGGTGGTGCTGGAGCGGGAATCAATGCAAATTTAGGTCCAGTTGATCTTGGTCTTAAGCTTGGCTTAGATGGACGAGGAGTAACTGCTGGTGTTGCTTTAGGATGATAATCAACATTGGCCAATCAAAACAATTAAATGCTACGAGAAAATTTATTTATTTAAATTAGTTACCACTGATTCCTTACATTATTTTCACAATTAAACACAATCTACCAATAATTACAATCAATATTACCACAAGAAAACAATCAATAACTAATCATAGTTTCTAATCAACCAAAATTAAATTACTTAAACAGAAATGAAATTATATTAACAATAAATCCAAATCATAAACGAAATAATGTGTAACTTAATTGTTACAATTTAAAGAATAGAAAATTAAAATTAAAACTTTTTTTTCAAACGAAATCAAATCAAAGAAATTGAATGGAACGAAAAAAAAATCGAACCAATCATTGTAACTTTCTCACGATTAAATATCCTTTTGATTAAACTTTCAATTTAATTGGAAATATTGTGATCAAATTAATTTTAATTCTCATCAATCAGTTAATTGTCATCAAAAGTTGAAAAGAATTTTTTTTTTCGGTCAAAAAAAACTCCATCTGGTGGCGATCGATGGAAATGTTACCATATGGAAATTTTTTTCTCTTTTGAAGCTTTTTTTCTGAATCTTAATTTTTTATTCTGTTGTAATTGAACTAATTGTTGTTCTTTATTTTAATTGTTTCTTAATTAGCATGAGAATTTAACTATCTATCTATTGGATAAACTGTTGCCTTTTAAATTCTCTTTGTGTCATGTCTTCTGTTCCTGGTAAACGCGGTGGTAAATCAAAGGTTCCCCTACCAGCGACCAGTAGCTTGTTCGCCCTCGGTGGTACCGTAGCTAAAAGGCCAAAAGTATTGATCGGTGGTTCCAGTGGTGGTGGTGGAAGCTCCGGAGAGTCAAGTAGATTAGGTTCTGGCCATGGATCTAAATCTCTAGATAAACCTTCTGATGAATGGGAAGATGTTTCCATTGATGTTGAACCCGAGTTTCTGATAAAACGGATTGTTGAAGCCGAGGGAACAATTCATGAGCCCAAAATTGCAAATTACATTTGTGGTGCTGTTAAACAACTTCGATCGAGTAAAATTAAACCTGATTCAGTTCTATTTTTAAGTCTAGTTTATTTGGCGAAAACTAGACCTTCACATTTTACTAGTGAAAAGGTTGTCGATGCGATGTGTTCACTTCTCCGCCGGGAATCGCCATCTTCTTCCAGCTCATTTAAGGTTAAAGTAAATTCCAATGTAACAATTTGCTCAGCTTTAGCTGCTAATCTCTTACTTGCTGCTCATCTTGATGAACCCAATTGGCATCTATCATTTATCAAGGCCTACATAGAGGATTCTCTTGGTGAACGTATTTGGGTTGATTCTGATTTTTGCCGTGGCTTTGTTGACAATATACTGACCGCTTTTAATACCAAAAATCCGCCCAAGAATTTAATGTCTCAAGATATTCTTGCCGCTGTTACCGGTGGCACTGTGACAACCCCTTCATCTTCAACTGGACCACTAATTGGTGGTATTAAAGGAACCAATGAATCTCCCATATCAACTAGTCCAAGTCACGCTTCTGAGGATAATAATGATGAAACGAGTAGTTTGTTTTCCTCCGGGTTGAAAGATGTTTTCGGTGAAGAGCTTCCGGTTGTACCTCGATATAATCACAACCAACAAGTTGTTTATGATTATGTTTATGATATTATCAATGAACAATTAACCCGACGTCAGGTACCATCGGAAATCAATCGAAATGTACTCAAATTGTTAATATCTACAGTTGGTATACCACAGATTCGGCTTTTGGTCGCTCAAAAGTTGGAAATTTGGCTACAAAATCCAAAACTAAGTCGACCCGCTCAAGACCTTTTACTAGCGGTCTGTGTAAACTGTACCGAAGAGGATAGTGATGTGATCTCCGCTCTGGTTAAAATGCGACTTAAAACCAAAGTTCTAATGAATCATTTCTTTGTTTGTATTAAAGAACTTTTGAGTCAAAGTGATGGTAACATTATGATTGTCCTTCGAAATGCGATCTCAATTGAATTTTCCAATAATCGAGGATCAAGCAACATGCACCTGATTGCGGTCATTTTTCAACATTCATCTAACAAAGCGACCAAATGTTTGGCTCATTTGATACAAGAATTTTTAATCAAAGATGATTTTCTCCGACAAATTCGCCATCTTCTCCGTGAAATTGTCAAAGCACTTAAACATGAGCACATTAATCTAGTTAAACTGGTCGATGTTCTAACAACGGAAAACTCTCGAGTTGCAGTTATCGATGTACAAGAAGTTTTGTCCCGAGTATTGACCTCAATTGCCGATATAATCGTTCTCTGTATGTTCCTCACTGTTTACCCAGTCGCTCGTGAATCAATGTCCAAACCAACACGAAAAGATATTCTCAAAACAATCTCTGGTCAAATTGCTGAGATGCAACGATTAGCAATCATTTGGATGCAAAAAGTTGTCGTTAAAATTTACAAACCCGATAGAGGTGAATACATGCACTGTCTAAATAAATGTCTTCTCATGGAAATACCTGAACATTATTACAATAAGGACAATTGGCCTGCAGAATCTGAAAGAGCGGCCATGTTTCAATGTACCACGAAGGTTCCCGTTCACGAGGATAGTCTCATTAGAATATTAAAAATGGGATTATCCAAAGATTATCCTGTCCAATCACCGGAAGCGATTGAACTATCCGATGCTCTAATTAAACGAGCAGCAGCCATTTATGATGGAGACGTGACCAATCCCACTCTTCCCATTAAAAAGGACGATATTTTTAATCTATTGCTTAAAAATTCAATCTACCGGATACCCGAAAATATAACACTTCCTTCAGGATATGAAGCACCTTCCCTGGCGATTAACGATTGGTATTGGAAAGTTTGGTTACAATTGTTGATCATTGTGGCTCATAATGCAGCTAAATTTGGTTCCATGGCTTGGGAAAATTACCCGACTCTTGCTTTAATCATTGAAATGTGTATAACTAATCATTTTGAATTTCCACCAACGACCCGAGCAAATGAGGATCTAAAAGGTCACGAGCAACAAATTGTCGCAATTGAAAAGCAGCAGATTTTACAATTTGAAATACATTTAGCGGCTGCATCAAGTAAACGTCATATCACCGAGGGAAATAGTTTACTTTTAAGCAAATTGATAACCTTTGACCCACAAGGTAAACCAAGACAGCCTCCGATCATGGTACTGGAAACGCTTAAAAGTATCAATGCCGGTCTAAGAATTGGTTATTGGCTTTGTCAAAGTCGAAATCCTGATTTTCTACTTGAAATAATTCAACGTCAACAGCGTCAAAATATTTGCTCAGCCAATTTAAATCTTGGTCTTGGTACAATGCAATGGTTAAATGATTTAATCGAAATGAATTGTGACAATTTAGCAAGTTTACCCGTTCAGTGTTTAGGTGAATTTACTTTACGCTACATAAATGACGAGGAAAATGTCAACATTTTCACAGAATCTAAACAAGCCGAAAAACCTAAAAGAAAGGAAAAGCGACGAAAATTTTGTAAACTATTGAGCTACTTTCAAACGGCCCTTAATCGTGATGTTGTTGTGGCCAAGCAATTAATGGAATACTTTATGGGTCGTCTCTGTTCACCTCAATCATCACTTCGAGGTTTAGTCGCTAAAGCGTTGAATTTGGTCCTGTGTTTCAATGAAAGTATGGCCGAAAATTTGTCCTACCTTTTAAAGCCCAACGTTGAAACCTGGTTATTGGGCAATTTACCGACAACGGAAAACTTTCAATCGGTCAAAAAGATAGCCTGTATTTGCTTACGTTCTGCAATTCTAGTTGAAACGGATCCCGAATCAGTTTGCTGTTACATTCAATTTCTAGCTGAATATGGTAAACCCGGAGATACACAGACCGTTTTTGACCTTGCCCGACTAATCATTGATCGACAAGCACTATTCAAATATATCACAAAGGATCCACATTTTCGTGATGATTTCCTTTTCTCATGTATTAAACTTTATTATGATTACATGATTTCATTGGAGAATCAAGTTAAAGAGGAATGGGAAACGGAAAATCAATCAAGTAACGAACTAGTTTTAGTTAAATGGCCAACCCATTCAGCAGTAATTCATACACTTTACATTCAAGGTTTACTTGTACTGTTAACCTGTGAACCACCATTATCAGCACTTGATCAATACAACAGACTGATTACCATGTGGTTTACTGATTCAATGCCAAGAGGAATATTAGTTAAAACTCAAGAAGAGGCTCCTCTGTTAAATGATTGGATAAGACTTAAATTGTTACGATCAGCATCACCACTTATAATCGAAGCGGCACTTCGAGATCTTGAAACTCACCAGTTGGTCATGTTTTTCCAATCATTTGGCTTACCCGCTGCCTCCATGCAAAGGCTACTCGAAGCTCTTGATTGCGCCTCTGAAACTGATCCGGAAACAGTTAAAAGTTACCTGGTTGATATTGGACTTGCCCAGGCCACAATTGAAGTCCAATGGATGCGAGGAGTTAAATCGGGCAAGAAATTTGCTAACATGTTGGGATATGATTTCACCGTTGCTCAGAATCCAATTCAACCACCAGACCCATTTCAAGTAATCAGTTGTTAATTGTTACAACATATTCATCGCCATTTTAAGTAAAAAGCCACAAATCAAAACGTAAAAATTTAATCTAATAATTCAACTAAATTGTCAATGTTTCCAATCAATTTTTTGATACTTTTTTTTAGAATTGAATCAAAGTGAGATGATCTCTTTATGCTAAATCATCTGGACACTATATTGTATATAATTAACTCATAAAATCCACAAAATTAACCAGCATTAATTATAAAAATGTAATTGTAACAAATGACATATCCTTAACAATTGGAATAAATATTGAAGACAATGATTTGAATTTGGTTATTTAAGACGAAAAACAATCAAATTGATTTAATTTCTCTTCGATAATCATGAAATTTTATCATCGAGCTAATTGTTAACAATTAAGATTCACCATAATGTGCATTTATTAACTGGATTCATTGAACTTCCTGGTTTACAATTAAACGTCTCTGAGAATTCATTTAAATTGGAAACTGAACCAATCGCTCTAATCACCAACAATATAAACAAAAACAATTAAAGTTAATTGTTGATCATTTTTTTTTCTCGCTCTTTTGTCTTACCTTAATTGTGACGGACTATGAACATCAGTCCTAAAGTAATCAGCTACAGCTTCTTTTGACCATTTACCACAATAAAACTAATCAGTGAAAACGATTAGAATCACAATTAAAAGATAATCACTTAATTAGCCAACAATTAAGTCACTTACTCGAGCAGATCTGATGAAAAACAACTGATCGGGTGTGTAGTGTGTTAGACCAGGTAGTCCGGGTTCTGGTCCATTTTTCCGAGTATATAATTTGTGAGCCTAAGAAATGATTAAGAGTAACAATTAGCACAACTCTAAACTGAAGACGAGCTTAATCATTACAGTTAATTACCATAAATCCAACTCTTAATCCAACATTATCGGCTACATTTTCGGACAAAGTTTTCCACCCATCGACCTGTTAATGAATGAAATAAGAGTCACCGATCCAACAGAAATGGGAAAGTTGAACAAATTTACCGTTAGATTGATCGGATTAACTATATATCGATTAAACTGATTAACGAAACATTCAACTTTCTCATTATAATTAATTGTTGTAACATTTGACCACCAATCAGAGTAATGACCCTGTTCATTGAAAAGTTTACCAAGAGGGTCAACACTGTGACTTATTTCATGGCCAACAATCCAAGAAATTGAGCCAAAATTAAAATACCTAAACAGTAATTAAAATAGATTGTGAAAAAATATAATCGTTAACAATTAAAAACGTCATTATATTGATTACATTGGTTGATTTTGATTAAGTCCAAGGGCATCGAGTATGCCCATAGTCAAGTGAACCATGTTTTTTGTATGAGCATAATAAGCATTGATTGTCATTGAACTGCCAAATGATTGCCATCTAATTGGGGATAGAAATTGATTATCATCAATTAACATCATTGATTAATTACTTGAATCTTAGTTATCATAATCTAATTTACATAGGAATTGATTGAATACTCAATAGTTGATAAGTATTTTGCCGATGCCAAAACTTTAAATGTAATGTCATCAAAGTGAATGTCAAATCAGTTTTATTTGGAAGCTGAAAAGATAATAACAATTAACTAATAGTAATTAGTAAATTAGACTGTCCAATTGTCAGTATAGCTTACCCATTGGTAGTATGAATTGATTATTGTATAATTAGTTGATTCCTCGGCAAATCCAATGGAGAATCTCATTTGATTTGATTTTCTTATTAATCCTTCAAGCGTTTGTGGATCAATCCAAGTTGATGATTTAATCAACGAATTGAATGATAATCGAGTATAATTAACAATTATTTCTGTCTATACAATGATTAAGTCAATTGAATTTATATTAGTTGATTGTTGAATTATCTTTTTCTTCAATTGTCCTTACAAAGTTAACGAGCTTTCGTTTTGCCTCCAAATTGTATGAAAGGTACAAATATGATGATCCATATTTGAACATGTTCGAGACAATCGAAGCGCAAAAGTCTGGGCGATATCGTCGTAATCGACGTCCATCGATCATTCGATAAAAGTTTCGTGTAATTAGCAAAAATCGTTCGTTAAGTGTATTAGTCACCGATGTAAACAATCTCCAAAAGATATAATTAGCTATAATTCTAAGAGAAAAAGAAAAAGGTTGACATCGAATTTGACTTTTCTTCGAACTTCTTCCAAGTCTACCTGTCATCAGTTTCTATCAGGATTCTCTCCATTTCTTTAAGGTAAGATTCACTTTCCACAATTACTCGCGTCTCATTGTCAATCAGATCATCATTGCAAACAATTTGTCGCAAATAACGTAACCAATCAAATATTGGAACTCGATTTTGTAGCGATTCAACTGTCATTATTTGAACATGAGTTATTTCTCCATGTACAGTTCGAGCCTGAAGATAGAAAATTGAAAACCAATGAAAAGAAATTAAAATAAACCAACCGATAGAAAATACCGATGAAAGTTCCGTTTCCAGTTTAAGAACTTTGGCCATATCCTCGCCGGCGATAGTAGGGTCAGCGCCCAGAATAGTAACAATTTGGATCATGAAATTTAGATAAGCGGATAGAAATCTCTCATTTCGAGTATTGTTTACATAGTAAGTCGCTTCCAGGTAAGTACTACAATCGCCGATCTAGAAATGGACAGAAAAAAGATATAATTAATCAAGTTCAATCGGTCAATTGATTTGGTGATACTTTTAAATACATTGTAGGTGGAATTGCAAGTGTCTGGTCAATCGATGTCCGAGCAAAAAATGCAGTATCGAAACCATATCGACTTGATTTCACTAGAGTATCATTCATATCAAATTCACTTTCGACCCAATCAGGTCCACTTAGAACAGGCCATTTACCGATTTGTTTCAAGACTTCCAATAAATGATCATGTTGAAGGCTTTCAATGGTAACTGGATGTTTTTTTTGTCGACAAAAAATCCCAATTAGTTAATTAACTACAGTTCAGAACATGGTAATTACTGAATTACCTGTGTCCATACAAAGATTATAATAATGTTTCATATTGGTCAGAAAGTTATCGGTTGTTGGTTCACTATCGTTGAGATTATCAAGAAGTCCTAATCCAGAATCAAGAATAAGAATTGAACTCAATTAAATCAATAAGATTGTGAGATTGTAACAGTTAATTACTTTTAAGTTGAGCAGTTAATTCATAATCAGCATTCATTGCACTCCAAGTCTCTGCCCGGTCATCGGGTATAAAAACTTTCTCATTGTCCAATCCGCCGCAGGCAAATTTGTAAAAATCATCACAAGGTGAAACTGATTCATCAATTTGATTAATTAAACTTGCAGCTTATGAAAAAAAAAACAAATTTGAACAATTAGTTAATCATTACATTAGATTTTTACTTTGAATCAATTACCTGCATTGATACAATCTCGAGATGAACATGGATCCATTTTCTCATCTGATTAACAATTAGTTTAATACAAACATACGTCAAGTAATTAAGTCTAAATTGTGATGGATTAAATTGTAAAAGACTTACCTGATTTGGCTGATAAAATAATTAGAATCAGGCAAATGATTAATAAGATAATCACAATTAGTGTGAAACATTTTTCAACTCGTGTTAATTTACCAATTGAACAAAGTGATTTTAATTGTTTCAATCTTGATCTGGTTAAAGCTTGACCAAGATTAACACTGGTCAAGATATTGGCCACTTTAACCATACGAGCAATTGATTAAATGATTATTATGAACAATGAAAAAGAGAAACTTTTAATTACAATTTAAATTGTTACGATTAAAGTGAAATTCATTTTATTTTTTCACAACTATTGCAATTAATGAAAAGTTATCACTTGATTAATTTTGATTATCGTCACTTAATCATCATATTGTTGACATGGTGATGTTGGTGTTAATTTAGGGAATCGATTTAAGGAAACTAATATATTAAATTGTTTTACTTTCACAATTATATTGATCATAGTCTAGAAGGATATAAATTATTAATCATTACAACAGCATTTAGATTAACACAAAATCAATCAGAACTTTTCTCTCGAAAAGATCGATAAAGGTTGATACGATTTTCGAGTAGAAACAAAAAAATAGAACCAGGTAATGATAGATTTTGATAACGAAAAGAAATTAAATCAATTGGATATCTAAATTGATTGTCGTGATTAAAAGTTCCAACAGATTGGACATTTAACTTTACGATTAACTTTACATTTGAAAATCGCTAAGAATCACGTAGACATCCATGCAGAACTTTTTCAAGACTAAAAATTGTGATAAACGCAATGATAGTATCCGTTTCCGGATATTTCGTAATCCAATTGAAAAAAAAACACAAGTAAAGTGATTAATTGTTAATATTTGCTGGAAGATGCTCTTCTTAACTCAATTATTGTCTTAAAAAATTCTATTGGATTGAAAAGATGCTGATTCGAAGATGAAAATGTTTCTTCACGAATAACTATTAATATTAATAGATGACCTACTTTATTAAGTAAACCTCAAGGTCATACTAACCCTAGTTAAGGTCAAATTGACCCTCTAGATCGTGTATCCGACGCTAAGTTTCACCTCACAGTCTAGATTGAACAGTTCGAAGTCTTCAGCCGATCATTCAATCAGTAGTTGGAACGAGCGATGATAAGTATTAATCACTTTTCTCATAATTAATCCGAAATTAGCTATTGATTGATTGATCTTTAGATTGATCAACTTGATGTTTTCTTAGTGTATTTGTGAACTTTTCAAGTCTCCTCTCTCTCTTATTAATAAGTATCTTCTTTCTGATAGTTGATTGCGAACAATCAAAATCGCCATCCTTTAATTGGTGATGTGATCAAATCAAATCTAATTGTGAAATCGAACAATTAATATAATTATGAATTTAATTCTGCTACCATACAAATTGAAACTATTAAAAAAAGTAACATTAATTTAAAGAGATGATAAATATTATGATCAATTTAAATTGTTTCACAAGGATCATTGTTAAATTAATTGTTTATGAAGAAACATTTTCAGATGATTAATATCAAATTAAGAGAAAGGGAAATGATTAAAAATTGACAAAATGATTAGTTATAAGTTAATTACAAGATTTGATTGGTGAATTTACAAGTAATAAAAATCAACAATTAGAAAATAAAAAGTTGATTGAAATGAAGAAAACAAGAAAAAGATGAATGAAATTATTATCAATATTCAAGTTAATTTATTGAGGAAAAAATGTTAATTGTCATCGATTAGTAATTTAATCCATCCTTGATTACGGCCTTTCTGATTTTACCCATCTTAATACACTTTCCCCACCATGACCTCCTTTTACAGGTTGATTCTTTGGTGAATATGAAACATTTTGTCTGAACGATGTTGAAAAACATTTTCCCCACCAAATTGGATGATCCAGTATTAGAAATGCGAAGACATGATCGAAACCTTAACAAAAATTAACAATTAAGAAGAAAGCAAAGAATTGATCAGTTTGATTATCATGATAAATTAATGGCCATTCAATGGGTGAAGTGTATCAAATATGATCAGAGAGAAATGTGAATGGGAAAAACCAAGAAAACGAAAATGTCATCTACTGATGTCCACTAATGAGATATGATGGTTGATGGATGAAAGGACAAAAGGGAGATGAGGATAAAGATGATGAGGATGATGAGGATAAGGATGAGGATGGAGATGATAAGTTTTCATGTTTGTTAAGATGCTGAACAATAATTGAGTCAAGTTGACCGTGAAAATAAAATATGTTGATCATATCAGATGATGATGATTAGAGGATAAGAGAGACTTGTGTCTCTTTGCTCATTATTTATCATCCCTTTATCATCATTATCATCATTGTTGTTGAGTACAAAAAGGATGAGGATGAAAAGTTGACCAAAGATGTACAATAATAATAATACAAACTACCATGATTACCATTGGTTTACTGTTATACTTTCATTTTCATCATAATATAAACTCAATTTGTGTCTACCTTGTAGTTGACATTATTGTTACTTAAATATATTTACTATTATCATGTTTGATTATCATGATGATTATGATTAGTGTATCACTGGAATTGAGATGATTAAGCTTACGATAAGGGAAATGTTACTTTTCACTTGCGATTAGTGAATCATATTATTCAGTATCTTCCCTATTGTTTAATTTTTATCACCAACAATCAACGAGATGATTTATAATGTAATATATGTACACTGGAAGATAATCAAACAATCATAACAATCAACTAAATCATCAACAATTTGATTCATCTCAATATCTTTCCATGTAAATATTATAATATATAAGTTTGACTAAAATTTTACTCTTCCAACTCTTTATTTTTTCCCGCTGTTTATAATTTTTAATTAGTTTAATTGTTTGATAACTATTTGATAAACCAATAATATGATTAAGGCTCATGATGGACTGAACTAATCAATTACTTGATGATAGTAATGATCATCAAATTAATAATGATAATCCTTTCAAGTTGATACAATACAAATGAATGAAAAAAAAAGCTTATCCCAAGTTACTTAGTATCTAATATGAAAATATCATTATAATGATATTGTTAATATTATATGATGATGAGGATGAGGATGATAACAATCATTTGTGTGTCACCATGAGATGATGAGGAAGATAAAAAAAGTTCATCTTTGTATGAAAAAGTTTATCATCATCTTCATATCGATATGTTGGTAATCATATTTTTCTGGTTAATGAATATTATCATTATCCTGATTAAGATTAGTTTTATCAAGATGATTAGGATGATGATGATTATTATTAATATCCAATTGATATCCAATTAAATTGATCACTTGAAGATGATGATGAAACTTGCTGTTCATCGTCCTGACCCGATTCTCATCAGTAAACATGAATAATCACCTAATAAATTTACCTTTCGATTATTAATTTACAATCTGATTGTTGTACTTTCCAATCATTTAACTTAATTAGATTTTTTTTACTACCTTTATCCTTTTCGTTTGCTAAATTGTCTTACCTTTCATCGCAATCACAATGGCTGATTACGTAGAGACGATAATTAAATAGATGATATTTTCGTGTTAATGGTAATATTGTATGTTTACAATGGTCATGATCTCGACAGCACCGGTCAGTTGTACTTCGTCGTCCTAATTTCTTGAATTGATTGCTTGTGGTTCCTTTGCCACACCAATTAGTCCCAGGAAATGTCATTAAATCAGCTCGTTTCCAACGCTATTTAATTTGTAATAATCAAGAAACAAAAATATTTGACAATTTGACATTACCAGGATTAGGATAAGAGAGAGAGATGGAGATTAGGATTAACATGTTAGGATGATGAAGAAGATGATGATGATTTGAAGATGATTTAAATTAATGAGACGAAACAATTTCAACATTCAAATGTTACTTGATTGTTGACTATTTTCAATTAGTAAATCATTTTGACGCAAATTGTCAATGTTTTCAATCAAAAACAAAAATGCGTCTACTTAAATTGTTGACAATTTAACAGAAAATTGTTTTAAATTAATTGGTTGATTTGGTGGGAAAATCAGGAAAACAACAATTTAAAATGCTTTGGAAATCGTTTTAATTGTAATTTAACTTACTTTTGATTTCAATCGTTGTCGTATTGATGTTTGTAATTGGTCACATTGGTTAATTAATTGCTCACGTTGGGTGATAAACTTTGCCTCGGGTCTTAATTGTTGCAATTGTTTTCCATGACTATCAAACCGAGTCATAATCAGATCATAGCTAATTACATGATTTAATTGTTTAAATTAGTGATTTTAAAATTTTTCAATCTATTCCATTGATTAAATTAATACTTACCAAGTTTCGTTGATTGATTTAATTGAAGACGATTTAACCTGATTGATTAAACGTTTAATTGAATCATCATCACCATCATCATATTCACAATCAACCAATTGATTATCAATGTACCACATTTGTAAAATATCATTTCCATCGGTAATCTAATTAAATTGCGAAAACAATTTCAACAATTAACTTACAATCCAAACAATCAAGAGACTTGAATTTACCTGTTGAAGACGATAATTTTGAATCATTGTCTTAATCCCAGTTAAATTGTTGTAAATCACTTTAATTGTAACCTCACCATCTGATGCAATTGATTTTGACACATGATTATAATTAGTTGATTGTTGTTGATCATCATTGAGATAATCAAGTTTAATAGGAAAGACAAAGTTAATATTATAAATGAAAAAGTGATAAAAAGTTGACACAGAAAGTTAATCATAATCATTATTGATGAGAATCAGTTGATTGTCTCTCACAGAAACAAATTAATTAAACTCAGGACAGAATTTAATTCAACCAATTTAAAACTAAACTAATTAAATCAAACATCAATCTCATTCAGATCAAATATCTTTGGTCAATGTAACAATATCTTATTAACCAAAGTCCCAATGAAGTTAAATTGTTGAACATGCGTAACTTAATCACAACAATTAACATTATAATTTTGCCCATTGAACATTCAATCAACCAATTAACTAATATTTTATATGATTTATATTAACCTCGATTCTAACAATCAAACCTTAATTGTTAAATCTTTTCCATCTCTCAATCAGGAATCGATAGTAAATTAAATCTCAATTAAAGCTTAGTCATTGAGCTAAAACAACAATTTACAAATCAACTTGATGGTCAATGGATTTTGACTGATTAATAAGATTGATTTTACACAATAACAATCGTAATTGTTACCATTATGATTAATCCACAACAATTGGAATAAAATTTGGAGACATTTTCGTTTTGTAATTGTAATCAAAATGAAGCTTTTTCTTGAACATTGTTAATCACTCGCTCTCTTTTTTGTTGTTTATCGATAATTAAATTTTTTTAACTTGTTTCTTTGTATATATCGTATTTATCGTCATTAATTTCACAATCAACTCTTATTTTAACTTACATACTAAAGGTGAGTTGTGAGGGTGGAAAATGGGCTTGAGGAGGAAGGTGGGAAAAGGTTGTTCCCTAATCGATGCTTCATTTTGTCCTTTTTATTATAATTCATCGTTAATATTAATTGTTAGTTTAAGTTTTGTTTCTTTTTTAAAATATTTCCATTTTGTTTTTCTTTTTAAATACTTTCTTCGTCTTTTTCTTGATAATCTTTAAGTTTGTTGTTTGATTTCCTTTGAAATTGATCAGGAAGATCGGCGTAGAGAGAGAGAAAAGTAAACATGGTGATGAATCAACAGCCGAAAACAAATTGTAGACTAAATTGTTGTAGAAATATTTACATAGATTAAAGAAAGAAAAGAAAGAAAGAGAGAGAGAGGTTGTTGTGAGGGTGGTAAATGTGTATCATTTATGGTTACCGGCGCCAGGCTCGACTTTCATCCTCATCGTCAGTCTCTTCCTCTTCGAGTAAATCATCCTCGATACTAACACCTAATTGTAATTCGTCAGGTGAAAGTGTTTTTTTGTTTGTTGTTGTTGGTCCTTCTTCCTCCTCTTCGTTGATTGTATCTTCATTTTCCTTTTCGTTAGGCTTTCCTTCAACAACATAGCCTTCTTCAACTCCCTCATCTCCTTTAGGGGATACTTGATTATCGTCATCATCATCTGTTTCTTGGTTTCTTGGATCTTCATCAATTTCTGTTGCTGAAGAATCTTCTTCTTCCTCTTCAACATGCTCATTGATAACTTGTTCTTGTTGTTCTTCTTCATCATCTTCTATTTGAGGTTCTTTAGAACATTTTTCTTCCGTTATCTCTTCTGTTTCTTCTTCAATTAGATCTCCATCTTTTTCAGGATTTACTGCTGATTCGTCATCATCGTTTATTTTACTTGTATCGTTGTTCACGTTGACATCACTTTCAATTAATGATTCCAATTCAGACGAAACTTTATCATGAGAATGAGCTATTTCCAATTCTTCAGCTTTAGCCTTAATCTCATCAAACCAAGATGCTTTTAATTTAGGTGCCTGATCTTTCAGTTTAACGGTTGATATTAATGGTAAAGCCATTTCAGCATCTCGACGTGTTCTGAAAGTTACCAATAGTCCTTGAGGCGTTGACTCCAGGCTTTCAATTTCAGCAGATTGCTAATGATAGGATAATAATAGTTATACAAAAAAAAGAGAGAAAAACGATTAAAAAAATGACTGAAAGAGAAATGAAAGTAAATAAGAAAGAGAAAGAGAAAGAGAAAGAAAAGTAGAAAGAGGAGATGGATAAAGGAAAACTGGATAATGATGATAATCGGATGAGAGAACAGGAAAGTAAAAGTGTGTAAATTGTTTTAACCTGTAACAGAAAAAAACGTTCAACTCACCGATAAATGTGCCAATAAGATACCGTTATCATCTTCGGGAATATTTTCGACGAAAATTTTTCTCGTTCTACGGTCAACTTTTCGCAAATTTTCGAAATTTTTAGCCAATGTATGATTGGCTTGGCGATTACGATCTCTTAAGGCCCCTTTCATTTCAGCAAATCGTTTAATCATCGCTTTGGTAGATCTTATATCATTCATGCAATAAGGTTTGGCCTGGAATGAGAAAAAGGAAAAAATAATTAATTTCATAATTCCAATTAACTAAAATGATTCTAAAAAAGTATTTACCTTAATTTTAAGTTCTTGTAGTTTCTTGTGCAACTCAGAAGCAGTCGCTCCTTTGTGTAGCTCATTGTAAAAGTCCATTTCTACATCGAGAAGCTCCTTTTCCACCTGAATTTTACTCTTAATTTTACCTGAAGATGGAAGCTTAGAAGCCTCAGCTAATATAATCTCAGCGTCTTTTTTAATATCACTTTCGAGACCTTTAATCTGCTTGTTTAATAAATCAACCATTGATCGTAATTCAATTTTTTCCTTATCTGTTTTGGCTTTTTGAAGTTTCTCAATTAACCGTTTTTGCTGTTGCATACAGGAAACTAATATATTTTGACGTTTCTTTTGTAAATCAAGTTTCTTTAAAAGTTTATCCTTTTTGATCTTCCTTCCTCCGAACAATAGATTCGGACACTGGATTAGTAGAAGCTAATCCAGTCTCTTGTTTTAATCCAGTGGTTGAAAGATTTGATGAAACTGTTCCTGTTGCTGTTGTTGTGGTAGTGGTTGTTGTTGTTGCTGCTGATGCTATTGTTGTTGATGATGAAGATGATGATGCGCAGCAACAACAGCATTAGTTGAAGATGGATATTGTTTCTTTAACAATGAAGGATTGAAAACCGTTCTTGATATTGTTCCTGTTGGAACATTAGTTGAGGCTGAATTTTTATCAGAATCTAGAGTATGACGAAGACCGAGTCGATCTTTAACATTAGGCCTGCTAGAGTTAGAATTAATTTGATCAGATTTATTTGAGTCATTCATTATGCTACCATTAGCTGCTCGTAAACTAGAATCGTAAGTTGATGAATGATGATGATGACCTGGTCCTTGATTAGTCGATGAATGGGATGATGATTGTTGTTGTTGTTGTTGTTGTTGTTGTGATTGTTGACTTTGGTCTTTAGAATGCCAAAAGACTTTAATAAAACGATTGTTAAGAACCGCTTCCGTGCACCGATGGGCAGACAAAGCCTCATTGTGACTAGCAAATTGAATGAGTGCTGCCTCCGAGTCACCATCATAACAAACTTGTAGATTAACAATTGATCCAAATTTGGAGAAATGAGAATTAAGATTAGCAATGGTATTAAGATTTGGCGGTATTTTCCTAACTTCTAATGTACATTTGTCGGCACTCTCATTGTTAACCATTCGTTTAATGTAACCACCCCGAAAACCACCTCGATGTCCACTTCCACTTCCTCCACCTCTACCCGAGTTACCACCTCGTTTAGACATAGTGAGTGAACTGTTACTATGATGGTGACTATTAGAACCACTGTTAATAAGGTTAACACTGGATGAGGTTTGGGTTAATGATGGTGTTGATGCATCCATTGTACTTTTATGCATTATTTTGGTTAAATCAGGATTTATTTTGGGTAAGGTTAATGATGAATTTTTGCCACCTTCTGAAAGGGTAACTACACCAACCAATTCTCTTGGCCTATTTGATTGATTCATTGATGGAATGAAAGAGGTCGAACTAGATCCTGGAGGTAATGGTCGTAAAGGTGGAGCGATGGGTCTCCAAAATTGATGTTGAGGAATATGATTGTAATTGTTTCCCATTGTTGGAACTGGTCCACGAAGGGGGACAGTTAAAGATCCTACACCTGACCCTCGACGATTTCCATGTGGTTTAATTTGCTTATCAATACCCGGAGCTTCCGGTTATAAGGTTCATTAAGAAAACTGGCTGAGCCCGCGGTGGCGATACTTTGGCTGGCAGCAAGGGCAGGGTTCCCATTGGCGGTTAGTCCAAGTACAACTGATGAAACGGCTCCATCTAGAACCATTGGATCACTACCATGGTCAAATTGACATAAATCTCCTCTCATACAAAAACCTCTCTCATCATAATCACGACAACGTTTTTTGGTAAATGAAGATTTTTCCTCTTTCTCTTCTTCCGCTTCCTCGTTTACCGGGGATTTTGAACTTACTCGTGTTCTCTTGGAAACTGGACCATCACGATTACGACTACGACTTCTTGAGGTAGATTGTACTCTATTATGTAATCTATTACTGGTACGAGTTTTATCCTTTGCTCGACCTCTTTCATGGCTGGGACTTGGTTGAGGTGAATAAGAACGTGACCTACTACGTGAAGGTGTACGACTTTTCGACCGAGACCTTGATCGTCTGTTGACCTGTTGTTGATTTCGACGATAACCTCCACCAAGGTGAGAAGATGATGTTAAGGATGAAGATGAGGTTGATGAGGGTCCATATCGACGACTCATACCTCTAGAAGATGGACTATTCCAGCCAGTACGACGGTTTCTTTCATCGGTAAAATGACCACGAGATCCAACATTTCCTTGATTGGAGAGACCATAAGTTCCTTGTCGTCTCATATCTATATCGCGAGGTCGATGACGAGTTAATGAGGATGAAATAGGAGGTGAACGAGATCGACTTCGAGAGTTAGACCTACTTTTACTTCTTTCACGATTATGATATGATCTTTTGTGAGCGGAAGATGTTAACTGACTACCAGGAGCACTTGAATCAGGTAAATTTTGTAAAGATTTTGGCTCATATTCAGGTGATAAGGATTGAAGAGGTGAACCAAGATTCCTTTGGACACCATAATTATCAACAGTCGATTGTAAATCATCATCACCATCTAAACCGCTTGGCGATTCATCAAGTGATCCACTATGACTATCCAAGTTAACAGGTTCTAAATATGATTTGTTGTCTATCGTTTCAAAAAGAACCTCAACAAAAGGTAAAGTCTCTTTCTGAAGGAATACCTCCAATTGCTCCGATAGAATATGTTTCAGATCCTTTGTGGGCTTATCCTTTCCAATCAATGCCATTACATATTGAGCCAAAGCTTGTGGATCAGCATCACACCTATGAAAGAGAGAGAGAGAGAGAGAGAAGAGGGAGAAATTGACAAAAAGAATAAGAAAATGATCAGTTGACAGAATTGTATTTTTTTTTCTCCAATCAATAGCGAGTAATCAATTTAAGGAAAACAAAATCATTTCAGCTGAGTGTTTATTCAAATCAATAATCGTCTATAATTCAAGTCAAATAGAAAATCATGTCAATCTGAGCTTAGCGTCAATTGGACTAAAAATAAAGGTTATTACATGTAGACCTAAATTGTGAGTGAACAACAGCTAAAACAGGAGAGCAAGGAAGAGAATCAAAAATAGCTAATAAAAAACGTACAATTAACCAATTTTAATTATTAAATTGATTGTAGAAAGAGAGGAATTAAATGTTTACGTTATGGTGAAAAAAAGAGATACTTGAATTGTAAGGTTCATGAAAATGAATGAAAAAAAAACGATGATAATACAGGATCAATATCAATTTGATTTGATTGAAATGTACATAGAATGGAATCAATTGACTGCTAATTGTTTTAAATACAGAGAGTGAGAGAGACCATTGATTGGCGGGTAGGGGAGAGAGAGAGAGAGAGGAAAAGAGTAAGATATTGATGATGAGGCTTAAATTAAGAAGCTGAATAAATAGATCAAAGAGTAATCGAGATAATTGATTAAAATCAAAGAATGAAAATGTGATAGTAAGTATAACACACATTTAAAGCACACACACACACACACAAGAGAAAATGAAAGGAAAGTAAGAGAATGAATAGAAAGAGGAAATGAAAAAGAAAGAGAAAAATACACGAAAAGAGGTTGAGAGAAAGAGCAATAATGAGAGAGGAGAGAGAAAACAAGAGAGAAAAGAGAGAAAAAGAAAGAGAAAGAAATAGAAAAAAAGATGAAAGAAGAAAATGAATTAAAATGACTTACAAAGGCTCTAAATAGGAAGTTAACCAGGTTTGTAGGGATTCAGGATTTTCGATTAACATGATTACAACAAAATTAAATGACTATTTAAAAAGTATTTTTATACAACAATTAATTAATTGACAGAAAAATCCATTGGGTAAAAAGTGTTGAAAGAGAAACAAAAAAATCAACAATCAATTTTTTCTCAAAATCTTATGGATCCAAATAAGAAAAAGATACTTGATACTAACAGAAAATATCGAATCCAAATTCGATTTTTCTCCACCAGATGTCACCTTTTCTGGAATTTTGTTCAACAATTAAAGTTAATTGTAGCTCGAAAATTGATTTTGTAAGGAAAACGAATTGTAAATGTTTTTCGATTTTAAGGTTTGGATTAGATTCGAAATTGTCAATCAATTAATGGAATAGGTAGTATATTGGATTGAGAAAAATAAAGAGTTTATTTTGTTTGGGAAAAACTTTTTTGTTTTAATTTTTTCATTTCAAATTGATTGATTATGATAAAAAAATTTACAATCAATTGATTTTGTAGTTTTGGTAAATTATACAATGGATAAAAATTTAAATGATAAATATCATCATCAACTTGTGGATAATGTGTAGTAATTGACTATTCGGTTACTACTAAATTTGATTTTCATTAGAATTGTTTTCCTTTTTGTTTATGGTGACACAATTAAGCAAAGATGATAAGAAAAAAAATTCCCTGTGATCAATATAAATAGTAATTAATTTGATAAACTAATTGGATTTTTTTGCACTTTTTGATCACTCCACAGGGATGAGAAACCTTCGAGACTCCCAAAAGAAAGCAAGAGAGAGAGAGAGAGAAAAAAATATGTATGAGATGTTGATTGATTGTGACGCGTTGATTAAAAAAACAAATCACTAAACAATCAACAATCAATTGGGACAAAGAAATGAAATGTAACACAACAAAGAGCTACACAGAACGGCTTCATCAAACCAAGAAGCTTTTAACGGAGTTTCACCTTGCAATTTAACCGTTGAAATTAAAGGTAAGGCCATTTCAGCGTCACGACGGGTCTTAAACGTTACCATTACTCCTCGAGGTGTAGTCTCCAGACTTTCAATTTCAGCTGATTGCTAAAAAAATTTGGATACACGGAAGAAAAAAAAAGAGGGAAAAAAGAAAAACAAATAATTGAAATAGTGACAATTAAAGGTAAATTTAAATCTTACTGATAGATGAGACAATAAAAGAGTATTATCATTAGCGGTAACCCCTTCGATGAAAATTTTTCTCGTTCTCCGATCAACTTTACGAAGATTTTCAAAATTTTTGGCTAACGTATGATTAGCAAAACGATTACGATCCCTTAAGGCGATTCTCATCTTGGCGAAACGTTTAATCATATTTTTTGTACTTTGCAAATCATTCATACACAAAGCTTTCGCCTAGAGTGAGAGAGAAAAAGATGAAACAATTAAGAAATTCAGAGTGATCATGTTGATAGATACTGACCTTGGCCTTAAGTTCTTGTAGTTTCTTGTGTAACTCGGAAGCCGTTGCTCCATTGTGCAGTTCGTTGTAAAAGTCCATCTCAACATCGAGCAATTCCTTTTCCACTTGAATTTTATTCTTACGAATTGATGACGGAAGTTGAGCAATTTCGTTCAATATTATTTCGGTATCTTGTTTAATCTCACTCTCAAGTTTGATTATTTTTTGTGCAAATGTTTCAACCGTTGAACGAATTTCCAATTTTTCCTTATCCGATTTGGCCTTTTCAAGTTTTTCGATTAATAATTTTTGATCTTGCATACAAGAGACTAAAATGTGTTGACGTTTCTTTTGTAAATCCAATTTGGTTAAGATTTTATCTCGATTAATATCTTCTTTACTTTTAATCACCATTGGCGGTTCAACAGTGTTCAGTGTATTAAATGGAGCAACACCAAAACCTTCATAATCCAATTCTGATTTAATTGAGGTATTATTGTTGACAAATGATGGCATATAAGTTATTGGCTTATTGTTGTTGGCGCTTGTTGTATTATCACCAGCGGATGTAGCTGATGTATAATGGCTTCTCATGTTGGCTGGATTATGAACTGTTCTTGATATGGAACCGCAACTATTAACATTTGCAGATATTGTCATGTTTGGATCAAACTCGAAACCATGACGGAATCCAAGTCTCTCCTTAACATTTGACCTGACAAAATTGAACTCATTACTATCTGGGTATTCATTTGATTGATAATATTGTGAATTAATGTAATCAGATGAAGATGAATGATTATGAACAAAATGATGATTTTGATGATGAAAATTATGACCAGGTCCTTGATTGATAAATGAATTTGATGATGATGATGGTTGTTGTTGTTGTTTCTGATTATTTTGATGCCAAAAGATTTTAATGAAACGATTATTGAAAATGGCTTTTGTGGATCGATGTGCGGCCAATGCATCTTTATGACCAATAAATTTAATCAACGCGGCTCTTGGATCACCATCATAACCAACTTGAAGATTAACAATTGACCCAAATTTGGAGAAATGAGAATTAAGGTTTGCAATGGTATTAAGATTTGGCGGTATTTTCCTAACTTCTAATGTACATTTATCGGCACTTTCATCGTTCATCACACGTTTAAAGAAACCACCTCGAGTACGATTTCGACGTCTATTGCCTCGACCCTTTCGTTTCGATCTGTTGGTTGGATTATTATTATTGTACAAATGACCATTGTTCTCATTGGCTGATGGCGACATGGATCCAGGATGCAACGGATGAACGGGTCTCCAGAATGATTGCTGAGGAATATTAACAAAATTTTCACCCATTGGATCACAAAGAGGATCTGATAAAGAGCCGACAACGGACATTAAACGATTCCCATGTGGTTTAATTGGCTTATCAATACCTGGAGCTTCCGGATTATATGGTTCATTAAGAAAACTGATTGGACCCACGTTGGAAATATTCTGTGTAACCATAGGGGTTTCATCGGGTGTCCCACCAAAGACAACCGATGACAAAGCAGCATCTAAGACCATTGGATCACTAACATGTTCAAATTGACATAAATCACCTCTTAAACAAAAACCTCTCTCCTCATAATCTACACAACGTTCCCTGATTAATAAAGGTTTTTCATCTTTATCCTCGTCTTGCAATTCCTCGTGTACTCGTGAGTTTGAACTTACTCGTGTTCTCTTGGAAACTGGGCCACCATCACGACTACGACTTCTTGAAGAAGATTGTATTCTATTATTTGATCTACTTCTACTTCTATCATCATTTTGTTGAGGTGAAAATGAACGAGATCTACTTCGTGATTGTCTAAACCTACGATTTATCTCCCTGGAAGATGAACCATTCCAGCCTGTTGAACGATTCCTCTCATCTTCATCAAAATAAACTCTTGATTCTTCACAAGTTTGATCAGAAGCATTATAATCTCCTGGTCTTCTCATATCAACATCTCGATGGTGAGTTTGTGAAGATGAGTTTGGAGGAGAACGAGATTGACTCCGAGAGTGAGACCTAGATAGTGATTGAAGAGGTGAATCTTGATTCTCACGAGTACCAAAATTATCGACACAAGATTGTAAACCATCCAGAATGTTTGATGATCTAATAGACGAGGGACAATTATGATCTAATTCAACGGGTTCTAAGTAAGATTTTCTCTCTACAATGTCGAAAAGAACCTCAACAAAAGGTAAAGTCTCTTTCTGTAGGAATACCTCCAATTGCTCAAACAGAATATGTCTCAGGTCCGTCGTTGGTTTATCTTTACAAATTAACGCGATCACATATTGAGCCAAAGCCTGTGGATCAGCATCACACCTATGAAACAGAGAAAAAAAAAGAACAACAATTAAAACCAAAACAATGAAATTTGAATATTTCAAGACGACCAAAAGATTCAATCAAGAATCAAAGAAAAGAGCATGTGAATCTGTAATTACGAAACACTATTAAAGGCTAATGATTATAACCAACAAGCAATAATCTCAAATTACCTAGGGCGGAATATCGAGATAGAGACGTACAATTAACTCTAATTGTATTGAGAATTTTTTTTAGGAATAAAATGAAAGAACAAAGAAATGATTACAAAAGAGAATTTAAAATGTAATCAAATTTTTGAGATGAGAAAATGAGACATTGGATACAATTGATTTAGACTATTGGTTGGCGGGTAAAGAGGTTAAAAGATAATGAGACTTAAACCTTGAGGCCCAATAAATTGACTGAATATTGGAAAATAAAGATAATTGATTAACAGGAAAGAGAAATAAAAATGTGCAATTAAGAAACGTATTCTCTAGTAATTAAAGAGAGAAAGAAAGATACAAGAGAAAAATGAAAGAAAAGGTTGAGAGAAAGAGAAATTATTAGAGAGAAAGAGAAAAGAGAGAAAAAGAAAGAGAAAGAAATAGAAAAAAAGATGAAAGAAGAAAATGAATTAAAATGACTTACAAAGGCTCTAAATAGGAAGTTAACCAGGTTTGTAGGGATTCAGGATTTTCGATTAACATGATTACAACAAAATTAAATGACTATTTAAAAAGTATTTTTATACAACAATTAATTAATTGACAGAAAAATCCATTGGGTAAAAAGTGTTGAAAGAGAAACAAAAAAATCAACAATCAATTTTTTCTCAAAATCTTATGGATCCAAATAAGAAAAAGATACTTGATACTAACAGAAAATATCGAATCCAAATTCGAATCCATGGAAAAGGAAATGGTTTTTAATTCTTATCAGAATTAACCAATTAATCAATTTTCTTTTCACAATCAACTGTGAATTCTGTAATTAGAAAGGAAAATGATTGTATCGAATTGGTGAATTTGGATTAATTGTAATTAGAACTATTTGAAAATTCGAGTAGAAATAAAGGAGAATAACAAACTCGAATTGTTGAAAATTCTAACAATTAATTTACGATTGAAAAGACAATTTAAATAATCAGTTAATGGCTTGACTTTTTGAGTGAATTTAATGTTGTTAGTTGATTAGGTTTTTGCTAATTAAATTGTAAAAAAGTTTCTTTTAATTGTTGATGAAATAAATGGAATCACAATCAATAGATGTCTCCACATATTCTGATTTTATTTGATTAACTAAATTGTTAACAATCAACGGGAAAATCAATCTTTCTTAAATAGTTGGAGAGATGATTAAATGATTATGTTTATCAATTGTATTATTATTGGTTACTAATTAGATTCTATTGAAATTGAACAATTTGATTAAGTGATTGGTAAAAAAAATTCACGCGTCAACAATTTAAACAATTAAAAAGTTAAACTTAATTCAAGTTTGCTAATAACGTTTATGATAAAATGATAATAACAAGTCAGTTAATCGTGATAACAATTATCTGGAATCACAAATTATCACAATTTAAAAGTGTCAATTAACCAAAATGATAAAAAGAAACAATTTCCCACCTAATCATTATTATATTGATTAAGTTAATTAACCAATCAAATTGTATTGTTAAATCAACGAGAACACAAATGATAATGAACAAGAAGTAAAAAAAAAAAGTTAATCAATACAATCAATCAAATGATCAAGAAGAAGCAGAAAAAAACCAAATTACACCATTTGATTTACAACAATTAACAATAGAAAACAATTTATCAACAGTAAATCATATCAATTAGTTAAACAATCAGCGAATCACCAATCAGTAATTAGTGAAAATTTTAAATCGATAACCATAAACATGAACAGATAATGACTAAGGAAAACAACCAATCTAATAAGATGGAGATTAAATTAACTAATAATTAGATTACAATTAAGTTGATCAATCAATTAAATGACTGATAATAGATAAATATTGTTAACGATTAGTATGAAAACTAAATGAGAATCAAATTATTAATCAAGATTAAAGGATAACATCCTAATCTCAGGTAACTGAATGTATTATAAGTTAATCTTTAGTTTAAATAATCATTTTGAACGTAAAAAATTAACGCTTCCAGCAACAATCAAAAGTAATCACAATTAAAGAGTAATAAACAACAATCAAGAAAAAAAAAGGTAAATCAACAAGATGAAAATGTTAACCTTTGCAAGAAAAAAAAGTGAAAGATTTTTGATCAATAATAATAACAAATGTAAACGATTACAATTTATAAAAAGATGATGAAGATAATGATGATGACGATGAAATTGTAATGATAACATGAGAGAGAGAGGAAGATAAATTTAATCTTCTCTCTCTCTCTATTATGATGATTATTACATTAATCTACAAATATGGTTGAGAATTGATGTAATATAATAACAAAAGTGTTCACAGTCAATTGGTTAGGAAATGATGGAAGGATGAAAAATGATGATAAAAGAGATGAAGATGAGGATGATAAGGATGAGGATAATGATGATGATGTGGTGGTGATGATGATAAGGCGGGAATAAGGATGATGATGAAGTGTTTTAAATGACAATCAAGCTTGTTGATTGTGATTATTTCTTTTGGTTAATCTCTCAAATTATTAATATAATTCAATTCAATTCATTTGAGATGATTTTCTCTCAATTGATTTTCAATTTAATTATGATTAAATTTCTCATTTCTATCGCAATTGTAATGATAATATAATTTAGTAATTAACTTGCCGTTTACTGTTGTTGCTTAAGGTTAATCATCATCATCATTAATTGTTGGGTTAATTGTTGTGTTTCTCAATTAATGTGTTTTCTTCATGATTATATCATGATGATAATTTTCTTGCTGATTGTTAAGATGATAATTTTGTTGTTCTTGTTTACCAATTAACTAATTGCTTCAATTTTTCTGCCTCCAAGCAATTTGGTTTATAATTAATTGTAATTATCATTTAACAAGAGGGTTAATTGTTATTAAAATTAAGTGAGTGTGTGTGGTGATTAGGCCAATTAATTCAAATGATAATCACACAACTGATTTTGTTTCATTTTTAAAAATGTTGTTAAATTGTTAAACTAATTGATTAGTCAACTATTTGAAAACCCAATCAAATCAAATCATATTGATTTAACTAATTGTCTTAACGATGGTTTGAAATGTTTTTTTTTTGTTAACTCATTTAAAAAGAAAGTGTAACAATCAAGATTATTTGTAATCATTTGATGGATTTGATTTAAATGATTAATGACAATTAATCTTAAAAATTGTTGTAATTGAGACAATCAGTTAACTGTTACACTTAAACCATAACAATCAACCTGATTTTTTCCCCTTTAGTTAAACTACTAATCATGTCTTAATCAATAACAACAATCAAATGTAAGTAGATATTGGATTATAATCAATTGTTAACAGTTAACTTTAAATTGTTTCCAATGATTAGTGATTCAGATAAATCAATGATCTTGAAAAACAAAACAAAGTTAAATTGTCTAATAAAGTTAATAGTTATTGATAAAGTTATTAGAGGAAAATCAATATTGATTATTAAGATGATTTACTTTTAAACCAAATTACTAATCACTTGATAGGTAATCTAATTGTTAATCATGTTAATAAACTTTTCTATTGTTCAATTGAAAGAATAACAAAAAATCAAATTGAACATTTTAATTGAAGAAAAAAAGTAGTACCAATGGTTCTCAATAGATGTCGCTGCAAATTCGAAACTTTTTCTTAATTAAAACATAATAACAATTAAAGAAACAAAAAGTGTACAAATAATTAGTTAATTAGAGAATAATTGAGTTAAATGTGGAATAAAAATGATTATCGATTTGGTGAAAAAACAAAAATTCGAAAAGAAAAAGAGAGAAAATTTTGCTCGAATTGGAAGAGATGAAAATTTTGAGTTCGAAAGTTTTTCTTTGTTTTAAAACGAACACAAATTGGAATGGAAAGTCGAAAGAGAAAAACAAATTATAAACAATCGAAAAAGGAGAAAAAGTTCTCGCGTCAATGTGAACAATAATTGTCTTTTTTTCGAACATAATTTTTTCTTCTCTGGCGCCATTTTCCTCATCTTAATTTTACTTTTTTTCGTTTTTTTTTCTCTGGTCTCTTTCTCGAGCGATACCAAAGAGGAGAAAGTATTGATCGAACTCAACACTACTCTCTTGTTTATTACTCTCTTTTTTTCTGATGATGTTGGATGATGATGTTGGTGTGTTTCAGTAGAAGCGAAAAAAGAGAGAGAAAAAAGAAAGCAAAAAGAAAGAGAGAGAGAGAGAGAGAAAAAAAAGGAAGAAGTGGTTTGGAAAAAAGAAAAAAAAAGAAAAGAATAAAATTCAAAGTTACCGCCCAAAGTTTGGAGACTTTTCCTCAACTAAAGTCACCGATCTAATGTTTACACTCTCGGTGACTAAACCATGAAAATATTAGTTCCAAGTAAAGAAACTTATATTATCTCCATTGAATTAGTTACTCTTTGGAAGAGAACTGAATTTTCCTATTGGCTGGTGGATGGAGAATCGGTGATAGAGTCACTTACCTCAACAGTGAATTCTAAATGGTGAAAGGCAGGAGAAGAAGGTGGAGTTCCAAGGTATGATTAACATTTTATCACCGAATTTTTTTTTCTTCTCTTTCATCTCTCTCTCTTTTCTCTTTCTACTTCAAACTGTTTTTCTTTTCTCTCTCTCTTTATTTTTCCTTGCTTACTTTTTGTAAAAAGCTAACAACACTTTGCAACATGAAGAGAGAGCAAGAGAGAGAGAGAGAGAGAGAAAGAAGAGGTGAGACAAGGGAGAAGATAAAGAGAGAGAGAGAGAAGATGAGGAGAAAAGAGAGATAAAAGAAAGAGGGACGAAAATCTCTTTTTCTTCTTCTTCTTGTGTTCTTCCAGCTATAAGCTTTAGATTCGGCTGACTGGAGAAAGAGAGAGAGAGAGAGAGCAAAAAAAGGTTTTCTCTTTGTTTAGTTGAAAGAGAAAGAGAAAAGAGAAGCCAAAAAAATTGTATTAGTCGAACAAATGAACAAGCCGAAATTCTCTCAGCCACCACAGCCACTTTTCCACTGACTCACTAGTCACATGCATTTGGAGTGGCTCACTAGCTGGTTGCAAATTCTCAATCTACATTATCTATTTTGGTTTCTATTTCTCTCTTTCTCTCTCTCTCTCTCCTTCTCTTTTTTCAGTTACAATACAAGTTCAGTTTTTAAGAAAAAAAAAATGTTCTACTTTGTATTTAAATCATTTTCATTTAATCATCACTTCTTTTCAATTTTCTTGTGATTCTACTGAAAAACAAAAAGGATAAACACTTCTCATCGCCATCATCATCATCATCATCATTATTATTATTATTGTTGAGGAGAAAGAACAACAATTAGTACCAACAAAATTATCACCTTTAAGGAAATGTACCCAACGCGACACGCCGGGCCTCCTCAGCCAGGCCAAGGTGGATTTAAATCATCTCTTAATGAGACTTGTGATCGGGTTAAAGAGGAATTTGCTTACATGCAAAATCAATGCCATCAACTTAAATTGGAATTAGATAAACTGGCCAATGATAAGACGGACATGCAACGCCATTATGTTATGTATTATGAAATGTCTTACGGATTAAATGTGGAAATGCACAAACAAACGGAAATAGCCAAACGTTTAAATGCCTTAATTGGTCAAATTTTGCCTTATCTTAACGCTGAACATCAACAGCAAGTCGCCCAAGCAGTGGAAAGAGCTAAACAAGTTACTATGTCTGAATTAAATGCAATCATTGGTCAACAACATTCAGGAATAACTCATTTAATGCAACAATTACATGCCCAACAATTACCCGCTGCAGCGGCTGCTGTTGTAGCGGCAGCCGGTCATGGTCCTCATGGTCCATCAATGCCAATGATGCCTCATCCAGCTCTTGCTGCCGGTTTACAACCACCTCCACCCGGTTTACCACCATCTTCTGCAGCAGCAGCCGGACTTTTAGGACTTACCGGTGGATTAGCTGGAGGTGGTGGTGGTGGTGGCGGTGGTAACGGAGGTATTGGTGGTTCTTCCAATGCAGTTACCCTTTCATCAATTTCAACTGCATCATCACCAGTTTCCGGTAAAGATTCAGCTACCGTTCGAGAATTAAATGATACCAAAAATCGTTCTGGTAATATTCATATTGATGATAAATCTCGTAATAATTATTCACCTCATGTTGATATTGATCGTAATCGTCATCGAAGTCACTCACCAGAACCCGAAAGTAAACTTAAACGGAGAAAAGATCATGTAAGTTATGTTTCTTCCATATTCTAAAAAAAAAAAATTTGTATCTAAGGGAAAATAGAGAGAACCATCAACACAATTGGAAACACGAATAGTGGAGGGAGTGAACTTACACCTGAAAAAAAAGCTCACACACCTCAACAACAAGCCACACACACACAGATACACACATACACATACACAACACACACAGAGACTTACACATGAACACTCAATTCAAACACACACACACACAAACACACATCCAATTCACACACAACACGTACTCTCACCTTACGCGCTCAACCTTTTGGCTTCTCGATTATTATTTTTTTTTGTCTGTGTGTGCGTGTTGATATTTTCCCACCCATTGACCAGACACACACACAACACACATACCAAACAATTTATATACTTTGAACAACAACTTCAACAACAAGAAAAATTATAATTAAAAAGATTAAAATATTAAGACAATTTAAATCTTTTTATTTCTCTCTAATTATTTTAGTTTCATTCCAATAATTACATCGGTAAATTAATCATCAATCGGGTTTAAATTGTCAACATTTGTCGAGAAAATTTTGTCCAACCAACAAACATTTTCATTTGTATTATTTTCTAATTAGATTAAGTTTTCTCTTCTATCAACAATTAACTTTAATTTAGTTTGTTTCTCTCTTTTTTTTCATCTTCATCTTCTTCTTCATATGATATTTTATTCACAATCCGGAAATACTATCAACAGTTATGATGAGTTAATTTTGTTTTTTTTTCACAGAACAACAATCAACATATAAAAGGAAAGTTAATTAATCAACAATTAGATGAAAGTAATTAACTTTTTTCAAGGTTGATTACCATAGGTAATTGATAAGTTTAATAATAGTTACTTGTAATTCAATTGTCTCAATATTTGAATTTATTGATTTTTTTGTTTCGTTAAATTGTAAACAATCAATTTAATACCCAAAGAAAATAATATCAACAAAATATCAATTTCATTCTGTCACTTGTATGTGACTTTTGACCATTTTGATATTAACCTTTGACTCTTACAAAAGGACAAAACTGATGGAAGATCAAGAGAAGGAGAGAAAGAGAGAGAGAAAGAGATTGGGAGATCGAAAGTGAGAAAGATATTGAGAAGAGAAGGAGAAAAAAAGTTCTAATCTTCGAATTGGATCTTCGAAAAGTAAACGATTTTTTTTTCCATGCGAATTTTTCTCTGTGTGTTTTGTTCCACTTTGGATTTGGTACTAATTTTGGAATATTTATTTTACGAATATTAATATTATCTTTTCTTTTATTCTTCTCTCTATCACCTTAGGAACCCGTTTCACCGCATAATGGGGAATCTCCACCCCGTGAGAACGGTACTGACGCTTCCAGGATAAAAGTCAGTCCACCAAGTCGATCGGGTTCCTCATCAAACAGCAGCACTCCTTTGTCAACAAAGCCAAATGACCACTTTGTATGTATATACAATTTACACGAAGATTAAATTATCACGAGAAAAAATCGCCGCTGCAAATGCTCTGATGATATTTTTTTTCTCTACCAATATAAATAACGAATAATAATAATAATAACTGTTTCTCTCTCAGGTCGGTTATGATCCTCATCCATTATTTCGTGCACCCTTCATTCCCAGCATCAAAGCCGCATACTCATTTCTAGTTACCTCTGATGGTACCACGGTACCGGCTCCTTTTCCACCGGATGCCCTTCATGGACCAGGAATTCCGACTCGAGCCCGTCAGATTGAAACTCTCAATCATGGTGAAGTTGTTTGTGCAGTTACCATAAGTGTCCCAACTAAACATGTTTACACCGGAGGTAAAGGTTGTGTCAAAATTTGGGATATCAGTCAATCGGGTAACAAGAGTCACATCTCACAATTGGATTGCCTGGTAAGTGTTCATCTAATTTCCTTTAATTGTTTCCAATTGATTTGTAAACAATTTACAATTACGATTATCATCAAGGATAAAACTTTTTCTATCCATTTCAATGCTAATAATAATTGATTCCAAGTCGCAATCTTTTTACACACTACAACCTGTTGTTTGTATTCATATATTTATTAATGAAACAAAAAGATAACATTAATATTGATGTTGATAAGATAATGAACATCTTAATCATCTTGATGGGTTTCTATCTTGATTTCCTTTTACTTCAATCATGATGATAATCATGATGATGATGATGAAACTTTCATGATCATTATTATCTGTGTATTTGTGTTTAACATTAATTTTTACTTGTAAATCATTTGAGGTTTACTTTGGTTTTATTTTTGCCATTCAACCAAAGGATATCATCAAATGATGATGATGATGATGATGATAATTATAATTCATATTACTGGAACAACATGAATCTTTATCATGAGAAATCATGAGCAAAAAAAATATAATATTCACATAACAATGAATCGGTGATAATAATGACAATCATAATAATAGACTAACATATAATTTCCTGATATAACATTTACTTTTTTTTTGTTTCTTTTTCCATATCAACTTAGGATGAGGATGAAGGTGATGATTATTATAACCTTGTAATAATAATCATCATGATGATGATCATCTCCCACTCCTACTCTCATCTTGCTTTCCCATATAATTGATTATTAATCATCAAACAATCAAACTTCAATTCTTGTTGATTATGTTGATGGTTAATCTTGATAATCCACTTGAACACGTTAAGTTAAATTGCTGAGGAAAAAAAAAGTTGATCAACTTTTGTCTGTTGATAATTGATTTACAATCGCATCTTTTAATTGCTGTTTGCTATTTGATTGTTGATTAATATTTAAAAGGGATAATATCATTAACTTTTTTTTTCTTTCTTTCTTCTTGTTAACAATCAACAAAATTAATCAGTAACAATCATAGTAGAAAATGGATCTTGAAAATGAGTAGAAAAAAAGGGAAAAGCATCCTCATCTTTTTCTTTTCTATGTTTATTTTTCTTCTCTCTCATTTTCTCTGTGTGTTTTTGTGTTGATTTTTCTTCATCATCATGATCATCATCTTTATCTTCCTAAAAATGTTTACAATTCCTCTTCCAAAGTGAACATGAACATTTTCTTCACACTGATCATGCTTACTTTGTTTCGTCAACTTATCTTATTTATCTTCATCTTCCTCCTACATCATCAACATTATCATCATCATCATCATCATCATCATCTGTTTCATCTTCCTTCTGGGCTATTTTGCCAACATCATCATCATCATCAAAGATGAAAACTTATATTTACCAATACCTACAAATGAAACAACTTATCACATGGATCCAACCTCAAGTCAACCATCATCTCCATCCTCATCCTCATCCTCATCTTCATCTGTGTTTTTTTGTTTGTTTGTTTATCTATTTGTTACCATTAAGAAACATTTTCCACCATCAACATAATCATCTTGGTCATCATCATCATCTTCTTATTTTTCTCTCTCTCTCTCTCTCTCATTCTCTCTACATCCTGTCATCATCCTTATCCTCATTATCCATGGTGCCTGTTTTCATGATGATGATAATATGTATTGTCACCATCAATTTAGCTTTCAATTGGCTTGATTAACACAATTGATTAACTTAGAGAAACAAAAATATGATATCATCAATATTAGTATTGTGGTTACATTTTGTTTCTTAATCATCAAATGTCTATTGTTGATTGTTGTTATTTTCACTTTCATTGTAATTATCATGATGAGATTTGTGATTGTTTTGTTTCATTTGTCTTTCTACAAACAATATAAACAAATACCATTTAGATTATATTATCATCATCATTATTATTATTATTATCATTAGTTTGTTTGTTGAAGAGTTTTTTTTCCCTGTCTTCCATATTATCTGATGATTATGATGATGAGTTTCATCTTCATCATCACTTGATAATAATTAACTACAAAGTGAGTTTTAGAGAGCAAGAGAGGGAAAATGATAATGATATGAGTGAGTGAATGATTGTGTGAATAGTATTCATGGTTGGATAAATTGGATTCAGCTGAACACAAATTCATATGACTACAAAACTATTTAGAGAAGATGATGATGATAAAAAGAGGAGAAGAAGATGAAGAAAGAAAAGATGAAAGAGATGACTTTTTATCTTCCATGTATGTGCATCTTTCTGTTATTTGCAAATCTACTTTTTCTCCCTTGCAAAGGTATAACCTCAATACCTAAAAGAGAAAAGCAAATAAACTGATAACATGATGATGAAGATGATGAAGAAGATGATGAAGGTAAAGATGAAGATGATAATTCTAGTGGTGGTGGTGGTGATGATGATGATTGTGAATTGATGTAAGATAAGTCAGTTATAAACATTGTAATCATCTTGCTTTGACATAGTTTGTCAACTCTATCTGATAGTAACAACATTTACAGTTACATAGAGATGATATTTTATCATCTTCATCATCATCTTGACTAAGCTTTTTTTTTTGCTTCTTTTGTGACTTTTTTCTGTCTGTTTTTTTTCAACATGCCCTGAAGGCTTGTTGGTGATGAAAATGAAAGCAATAAGAGTCAAGTTGATGCTAGTTTACTGTATTAGGAATAAATCAGATAGAAAAATAAAAAAAAAAGTTTCAATGGAATGAAAATAATAACAAAGGAAACTGACTACAGCTCTAGGGATGATGAAGATGAAGACGAAGATGATGATGATGATGATAATGATGGTTAAGATGAAGTAAAGAGAGTGGGAGGAAAGATGATGAAAGTGTAAGCATCTTCATCTTTTTTTTTTCCTGAGTGGATTTTTCTATTCGAAATCTTATCTTTGTTTCTTTCTTTCTTATCTTCATCATCATCAGTGGAGTTCAATTTCCTTGTCGATTACAAGGAGTAAAATCTTTAAGCTTCACAGTCACATCATCATTTTGCAAAAAGATTATCTTCCTAAACTGATGAGGGAGTTTAAGAAAAGGAAAGAGAGAGAGAGAGAGAAACGATAAAGATAGAGATAAAGATGAAGATGAAAGCATCATCATCATTTTTGACCATGAAGTTCCTTATGAGTGAGTGAGAGAGAGAATCACTAATTAGTTGAATGATTAGTGCCAACTTATGTAATATCTTCTTGTTATTGGTAAATCTTCTTACTCACTCTCAGCTTTTCTCTTCATCATCATCCGGTCTTCACACAGCATCATCTTCATTTCATCTCTCTCTCTCTCTCTCTCTCTTCTTTCTCATAAACACACAAGAGATTTGTGTCATAAGTACTTAGGATGGATAACAGACAAAGTTGCATTTTCTTTATTTTCTTCAATGGTTTTATCTTCTCTTTCTCTCTCTCTCTCTCTCTTCTCTCTTCTCTCTCTCTCTCTCTCTCTCTCATCCTCTCATCTTCTTACTGTTACGGTTAATCCGCGGAGAATTTTCTTTTTCCTATTATTCTCTCTCTCTCTTTCTCCCTTTCCTTCTTTCTCTCTTCTTATCTTCATCCTCATTCTCACTCACTTTCCAAATCAATTTATCTTCATTAACTCTCTCCCTGTAACTTGAACAATCCAATTGAATATCATCATCAAGTTGCTTCCTTGGTTAATTACTTACTTCAGGATTACCTTTTGATATAATAACAGTAATATTATTATCATCATGAAGATAAGAAGCAAAGTAAAGATTGTTAAAGTTGTTTTTATTATCATCATCATCATATTATTTCATCAAGATTATGATGATTATAATAAAAGAGGAGAGATGATAATAATAATCATCATGTTGATGATACATAATAAAAAGATTATGATGATGATGATGAAGAGTAAAGAAAGAGTAAGTTTTTTTTTTCTCTGAGAAAATCATAGTTTATCTTCATTTTTCATCTTTCATGGTGAACATGATAATCACCATCAACTATTGTCATTTAGTGACTTACAGTGAGAGACAAGGTTATTTTTATCATCTTTTTTTTCATCCTCATCATTTTTTCATCCCCATTATATTGTCTCTCTGGTTGTTGACACCCAAACATTTTAGTGAATCAGTGCCAATAGATGATTGAAAATGATGATGATGAGAGAGAGAGAGAGAGAGAGAGAGAATGAGTAAAAAAACAAGAAGAACTCACAACAAACTCTCAATAGAGAGCATGTTGTGAGTGAAAACGATGAGACTCTCTCAAGGGATAGTCACCTTCATCTCGATTGTATCTTTACCAAAGATGATGAGGATTAGGATGATGCGTGGGTGGGAGAGAGAGAGAGAGAGAGAGAGAGAGAGAGAGATGAACCTAAAGTTGAAAAATAAATTGAAGATTCTAGTTACCAAATAGTATTGCGAAGGCGCAGAGAAAGTAAGAGATGATCATTTCTTCTCTCTCTCTCTCTCTCTCTCTCTCTCTCTCTCTCTCTCTCTCTCTCTCTCTATTATCGTTTTTATGGTTAACCTGATGGTCCACTTTTGATGGTCAACTTTTGATTCTCCCAGATGATAATGATGATATACTTTTCATCCTCATCTTGATTTTTCTCTAAGGTAAAGAATCAATGTAATTCTTACGAAATGATGAGGAAAGTGGGATAGTCACTTTTATGTGATAATTTATCATAAGTTATACACTCAAACGAGCACTGATGATGATGATAAGAGTGAAAAAAAACAAGAATCCATGATAATGATGATTGAAGATGAAATTTTAATTCAGGAAAAGATGATGATGATTGTGCATGTTACTGTAACGGACATTTTCCTCATCATTTGTTCATAGGGTGAAAAGATCAGGATGATGATGATGACTACTTTTTCCTCTCCTAATGGTTACTCATTTTGTTTAATTTACTATTATCACTTATGATGATGATCATCATCATCATCACCATGCTCATGATGATAATACATTAAAAGACACGCAAACTCATGGAAATGTAAGTGA